GTTCTTTGCTCATTTCTGTGGCTCAGCAATATTGCATTGTGGATATATATACTACATTTTTAAATCCATTTGTCCATTGATGGACATTTGGGCTATTTATTTCTTTTGGATCTTAGGGATAGTACAGCTATAAACAAGTGCACATGTGTTTGTTTGAACATTTATCTTAGATTCTTTTTAAGCAAATACCTAGTAGTATAGATACCAGGAAAGAAGTGGTGATAGTTTTTCTTGCTGAGCACACCACTACCCATTCCTACCAGCAATGTTGGGGGAGTGGTCTGCCTTTCTCTGTGCTTTCACCATCCCTTGCCATTTTCCTATTTAATTATAGTCACATTGGTAGCTGCAGAGTGGTCATTGTGGTTTTGATATGCAGAGTCCTAGAGACTAATTTTCATGAGTTTATAGGAAGTGGATGAGTGTTGTCTGCAGACTTGTTTATTTGTCTTTTGTTCATTTTTTACTGAATTTTTCCATCTTAGATGTTTGATTTTAAAATGCTTTCTTTCATTGTGCACACTGTCTTTTCATTTTTATTTTATCTTTTGTTTCATAAATGCTTATAATCTCAATGATATTTTATCAAGAAATCCATTAGAAAATCTCAACTGAAGATTTGCTGTCTTCTTCTGATAGTCACATGATTTTAACAATTACACTTATGTCGTTGGCCAATTTGGTGGTCATGTGGTGAAGAGTACAATTCCAAATTCATTCCTTTGCACCTGAGTATTCAGTTGGGCTAGCACCATTTGCTGAAGAGATAATTCTCCCATAGGGATATTTTTAACAGGCTTGGCATCCTGACAAAAGCTCAATTGGCCATAGATGCCTGTCTAAGTCTTTCCCATTGGCCCAGAAGACTATTGTGCCAGTGGCTGGGATTGCTTCAGATCTGTAAATAGATTTGGGAAGTATTGACATTTTAATAATAATAAATGGTCTAATTAATGAACATAGATTTATGGATTGTCTTTCTATTCACATAGTTCTTTAATTTCCTTTAGCAGTGTGTGTGTGTGTGTGTGTGTGTGTGTGTGTGTTATTTTGTTGTTGTTTTCTAATTCTGGGGATCAAACACCGAGTCATACATATGTTAAGCAAGCCATCTACCACTGAGATACATCTCTGGGCCCATGGAAGCCAGAAGAGGGCATTGTATCACCTGGAACTGGAGATGGTTGTGAGCTGCCATGTGTGTGCTGGGAGTTGAACCTGGATCCCCTGGAAGAGCAGCAAGAGCTCTTGACTGCTGAACCATCTCTCTAGCTGGAAGTCTTCATCCTCCTGCCTCAGTCTCCAAAGTGCTAGGATTGTATGCATGGCCACCACATTTGACTTGAAGAGTTTAATCATTTACATTTAAACCAATTATTGACAAGAAGAGATTTTCTTCTGCCATTTTCCTATTTTTCTCCTATGTCTTATACTTTTTGGTTACTTCTGATTTCCTCTGTTGCAGTCATCTTTTATGTTGAATTGATTGTAATGTTTTTGGAGAGTCTTCTCACACACATGTTAAATATTTTCTTAGTGGTTACCATGGGAATTACAACAGCCAGAACTGACGACAAAATGATTTGATAGCCAATTAGCTTGTAAATCATGCAAATACTCAAGTACCTATTAACATGGATTTATCATTATATTCCGTGTGTTTATCCTTTAAATCATTTAAGAAATTAAACCTGAGTTAGCATCTATTATAGTCTGAAAACAATATGTTTCCCACAGGCTCATGTTTGAATACTGGGAGGTTATTGAACCTTTGGGATATGGAGCTAGCAGATACAGAGCACTGGGGTAGGCTTGAGGGTTATCCCTTGGTCCTGCTTCTGGTCCAAGGTTTCTTCTTGCTGATCTACCATGATGTGAGCAAGCCATGCCACAAGCTGCTACCATCATGTGTGGTGCCACTGTAGTGGACACACCTTCCCCACTGGGGTAGACCACAGCATCTAAAACTGAGCCCAAATAAATGTCTCCTCCTGTAAGTTACTTCTGTTGGAGGTTCTGTCTCAGTGATGAGAAAAGTAACTAACTAATGCTGGCTTTTATATTGGTTGTCACCTGAACTGGTAACATCTTGATGTCTTCATATAGCATTGAGCTGCCCCACAGAACTTCCATTCCCTTAACCTGAAAGACAGCCACAGATCCTCAGGATTTGTGTGAGCACATCCTCCCCTCTGCCTCTTCACTTGCCAAGAGTTCTAGTTGTGCTGACTATGAATGTCTCTGGCTCCATAAATACACTGATTGTCCTTCGGGCCCTTTAAGCACACCGACCGTCCCACCTTCTACCGTTTCTAATGAGAAATCAAATGACAGTCCTGCTGAGAATCCTTATCCATGGCAAAGCATTCCTTTCTTGTTGTTTGCAAGTTCTTCTCTGTGTCTTTTGACAGTTTGGTTACATGTTCTTGTGTAGGGAACATTAAAGGTTGTTCTCCTTTGCATCTGTTGGGTTTCTTGGGTGAATAAATTTGCTATTTTCATCAGTTCAAAAACTTTTCGAATGTTGTTCCCCCAGGTATTCCTTCTCTCTCTCTTTGCCTCTTCCTCTTTATGGATAGTATGTGTAATCCAAATAGTGTGTATCCCGGTGATATTCACAGGCTTCGCTGACTCTGCTCACTTTTCTTTTTCTTACTGATCAATCTGTAGAGTCACAGTCCCACCTGCAAGTAAACAGATGGTGTTTTGCTTCTCATATCGAGTGCTGACCAGTCTCAGCTTCTAGAAGAGTTGTTCCTGTTCCTCCCTCTCCCCCCCCAACCTCTCTCCCTGTGCTATGATGGTTTCTGTGAGGCCACCCAAGAATCTGTTTCTGTCTCCTTGTCCTTCTCAACCGTGTGTGTGTGTGTGTGTGTGTGTGTGTGTGTGTGTGTGTGTGTGTGTTTGATGTATATATGTGTGTGTAGGTGCATGTGCAAAAGTCAGAGGCCAATGTCAGGTGTCTTCCTCCATTTTGATTCACTTTAATTTTTGAGACAAGATCGCTCACTGAACCTGGAATTCCAGATGTTCAGCTGTCTCAGAGAGCACTACCTCTGCAGAGTGGGTATTATAAGCATACATGGCCACACCAGCTTTTAGGTAGCTGTCAGGGATGCAAACTCAGGCCTCACACTTATGCAGCGTGCACTCTGTCTACTCAGCCATCACTCCGACTTCCTCTTTCTCCGCAGTGCTGTGGTCATACACGTGAGGCCAGTGCTCTCCTGCTGAGCCACATCCCTAGCCTTTATACTCCTAATTTTTAAGACAACTCCCTCTTTCACACTCATAGAAATGGTTATTAATACATGTAAGGTATTTTATAAGTGTTTCTAGATAAGTTCTTTAATCAGAGTTTACTTTTTCTTTGAAGGACTCCAAAATCATCAGTGGTTTAAAGAAACAGAGTTTCCTCAAAAACCCAGACAATTTTATACCATAATTGCAGAGTATGTCTCCCGGCTCTATAATTACCAGGTGATTTTCATTAAGTTCTTGTTGCATGTTACTCATTTGAAACTGAGTCTGCCACAAGGTAAGTCCAACTTGCATTATATTATCTTGGTTTTGGGAGAATAGCCAATAGCAATCTTACAGCAAGTGTGATTCTTCTAAGTGGTTTTATGGCTAAGAAATCTCCCCAGTTCTCCATGCCTTCTGACCCCTGCAGACTCTAGGAGAAGCTCCAGAAGAAGAGGGAAAGACAAGTGGTTCCATATGACTAACCTTCCCCCATCCCCAGCCAGCACAGTACTTTCCTTTGCCTGGAAGCTCCTGAGATCTCAGTGAGAATTTCACTGTCCACTCTATACTCCATAAGCACCTCCTAGCATTCCTGAGTCTTTAGTTTGCCTCCATTTTTCCTTTCTTCTTTCTTTCCTACCTTCCTTCTTTCCTTCCTTCCTTCCTTCCTTCCTTCTTCCTTCCTTCTTTCCTCCCTCCCTCCCTTCCTTCTTTCCTTTACTCTCTCTCTTTCTTCCTCTTTCTTCTTTTTTCTTTCTTTCTTTCTCCTCCTCCTTTTTTTTTTCTTAGATAGGGTTTCTCTGTATAGCTTTGGCTGTCCTGGAACTCTGTAAACCAGGCTGGCCTCGAGCTCACAGAGATCCACCTGCCTCTGCCTCCTGAGTGCTGGGATTAAAGGCGTGCGCCACCACCGCCGCCACCACCACCACCACTGCCTAGTTTGCTTTCTGTTACTGTGATAAACACCATGAGCAAAAACAACAAGATGAAAGGGTCTATTTGGCTTACACTTTCATGTCACAGTTCATCACTGAGGGATTCAGGGCAGGAACTCAAGACAGAGACCTGGATGTAGGAACTGAAGCAGAGATCATAGAGGTAAGTTGCTTATTGGCTTGCTCCCCATGGTTTGCTCAGTTTGCTTTCTTATACAGCCTAGAACCTCCTGCCCAGTGTAGGCACCATCCACAGTAGGCTGGGCCTGTCCACATCAATCATTAATCAAGAAAATGCCCACTGCTAGCCTACAGGAAAATCTGACTGAGATATTTTCTCAATGGAGGTTTCCCTTGCCCAACTTGTTTCAAGTTGCTAAAAACCTAACCAGCACACCAACACTGGTCCTGGATGAAAGGCCAGCCACATGAAACCCTACAGACAGAGTTTACCTGAGATAACCTCTACAGCTTGAGGTCTTCACATTCTTAGTCCTGGAGCAGGAGCTGGCCAAGAGCCTAAGCTATCTTCAGGAAAACAGATGTGCATCCAAAGTGAGCAGTAGTATCCCAGCTTCAGAAACAGCAAATAAGGCTTCCATTCTGGAGTTCACATTGAGTGTCACTTCCTATTAGATGTGTGAATAAGGCCACCTTCCCAGACGTGGTAACAATGGAGTCCGTGGCAGGCCAGGGAAGACACACATGAAAGGTGTTCTTATGTCCCATGGTATATTTCAAGGATCCGAGTGTGATTTCAGAACAAAGACAACTGAGTGAAGAGGCAAGATTCAGAATTATTTATCTCCTTTATTTCAGGCCAGACTTCGCATGCCTAAGGAGCAACTAGAACTCTTAAAGTAAGTGGAGTTTTGTATGTGCCACTTTCTGCTGTGTCTCCAAACACAGAAATACTGGGTTTCACTTTTGGAAACGTATAACATTGAAATAACTTTCCTGTATTATATCTTATATATCATGCCAGTCAAGAGGATTTTTCCTGACTATTTCCTCTTAACCACCACAAACCCCCACATCTGTTTAAAATGCCATGTTCGGCAGAGCCTAGCATGTTCCTATAACCCTAGCCCAGCGTGTTGATATAACCCTAGCCCAGCAGGTTTCTATAACCCTAGCCCAGCGTGTTGATATAACCCTAGCCCAGCAGGTTCCTATAACCCTAGCCTGGCGTGTTCCTATAATTCTAGTACTCAGAAGGCTGAAGCAGCGAGATCCTGATTTTGAAGCTACAACCGACAAGCTTGTCTCAAATAAAAATACATAAGCAAATAGGTAAATAAATCTAAATAGTAAATGTCTCGGGCATAGACATTGCGTGGATCTCCAGGCTGCAGCTGGAAAAACACTTCTTCCCTGCGCCTGGAATGCAGGCTATCCCAGATCGACAGGGATGACATCAGGATTTAGCATTCACCTGTGTGAAGTCACTTGACTGAGGACAAGCGAGGTTGGTCACCTCCTGCCTACTCAGTGTAGAAAAAGCCAAGCGAGAATGCCCTCGGACTCTTGTCTTCTGAGTGCCCACCTTGCTTTTCCTACACAGGGAAATGTAACGAGCAGACAGGGACACATCCCCGCCTTCCCCTCCCTGCCGAATCTTTCTTCCTTCCCTTAAGTTGACTCCTTTGCCCGTTGCCGGCCCCCGATGCTGTTGGCGGGAACTTCACTGTTTCCCTCTTTCACCTCCTGGTTCTTCTGCACGCAGGAAGGAAAGCCAGACTTTGGAGAACAATTTTCGTGAAATTCTGATTTTAATTGAACAAATAGATGTTCTGAAGGCATTGCTTAGAGACCTGAAGGACGGCATACACAATCACAGCTGGCCTGTCCCCCGAGAGGCTGTGCAGGACAAGGCTACCACTGAGGTTCTAGATGAGGCAAGGTGGTCTGGGGCTTGGAGGGGGGTGAGCCACTTAGCCCCAGAATGTTCCTTCCATTTCTTCTACCAACTGACATTAGCTATGTCCTCTGAGACCCCCGATTGGCTTCCTTTTGCTAGTGCTGCCGTGGGGACTCCACTTCTCCACAATGCTGTGTCACAGAGAGGACATTGCGTTGTGGTACAACTTACTTCCCACAAAATAACCAACCAGTGGTTCAGAAATGGTGATCTTTGAATGTCCAATAGCAAATACTCGCTAGCAAGAGGTTTCCATTCTGCCTGAGAACTATGCCTCCGGTGAGCTCCCCACTTAGGCCAGCAGCTTCTCTGCATTGCTCTCCCACTGCCTGGACTGCTACCAATTTCTCCTCCCCATGTCTATGTTTAAAAGATGTAGAAATCTAACCTTGGCCTTCCATGGCTTCCAGGCTCCAGTTCGTCCTTGTAATTGTGGCACAGTGTTCCAGTTAGTCACTGATAACTCCAACTGTTGTACCTGCTCAGGGTGCTTGCTTATTTTTGAACAGGAGTGTCCTTCAGAGCCCAACACTGATTCAAGTGGGTGAAAAATTGCTGTTAGAAGCAATCATCTGGCCTTTGTAAGTTGCCAGATTCTCAGATAGCTATAGAATATTCCAGTCTTTATTGCTGAGTATAGGACATCAGTAAAGGATGCAGCAAGCAGCACACTTGGCATGGTTCCTTCTCATCCCATGGGAGGGCACCATGGTGCAGTGGGGAGGGCTTAAGAGGAGCCACACCCTTCTGTGTGACCATGGTCCCAATCATACCTTAGCTTTAGTTCTTTGAGTTGTCTGCGAAAGGTCACTCCCACAGAGCTGTGGACAAGACGTCTAAGTGCATCAGTGCCTAGCTCTGAGAGCATCTGGGAGCTGTTAGAATTCTTCAGATTAAGGAGTTCAGGTCAAACTGTTAGAATTCTTCAGATTAAGGAGTCCAGGTCCAAGTCCATGAAACAAAGGGTAAAAATGCAAGCAGTTGGTAGAGATTAGTAACAGAAAACTGTTCTTCCAATCTTCACAGGAAATGTCAAACTTGGTACATTATGTACTTAAAAAGTTCAGAGGGGACCAAATACAGATGGCTGATTATGCCCTGAAGTCAGCTGGTGAGTACAGGAAAAAAAAAAGAAAGGTGAATTTAAAAAAAAAAAAAAAAGGGGGTGCTTTAAGTCCATTTAAAATTCTTTAGAAATTTAGAAATTTTCTAAATTCTTTAGAAAATGACACATATGAGAAGGGGTGAAATTATCAAATTAGATACTAAGGAAGATATTAGAAATTATTGCCATTGATTGCTTCTGAGACCCCATTAGCATGTATCTAGAAGGACCCCAGAGAAAGCTGAGCTGCCACAGGGAAATCAAACAGGAAGAGAATACTTAAGCTCAGCAGACAGGCAACACTTGTATTATATGAACCAAAATGAAATACCCTGCAGGGATGCTAAATGCATTAGTGCAGACTAAAGACTGGTGTTTAAAGGTGGCTTACAAAGTAATATGCTCAACATCTTCCAAGTGAAATGAACCCTTAAGAGCTTACTTAGGCTGTGAATTGTAATCGCTGTGGTCTATGGGCAGTGCAGAGGGGAAGAGGGAAGGGCAGTGTGAGAGACAATGTTGAGGAGTGAACTAGTTTCCTACAATGTACAGACCATCAAAAGTCATTCAATAAGAAGTGGATAGTGATGTGTTGAGTAAAGAAACCATGAACTTAAACTTCTCTGAAAGAAAACTATGTCAGTGAGCAGTGTTTGCCTGTTGTAAACTAGGCCCCTGAGCACTGTGGTAATTGTACTATGACTAAATAAGCAAACAAAGAGAAAACTCTAGCTCAAATGAAATGATCCACTTGCCCTTTTTATCACTTTGTAATATGGTTTGTTTTTTTAGACATAGTCTCACTATGTAGTTCTGGTTGTCCTGGAACTCACTATGCATGTAGAGCAGGCAAGCCTCAAACTCACAGAAATCTGCCTGCCACTGCCTCCCAAATGCTGGGATGAAAGATGTGTGCCACCATGCCCCAGCTTCATTTTGTAATGTCTTACAGCAAACTGAACCCAGGAACACACAAAAGTGGCAATAGATTTGTGTGAATAAGTAGATCCTCTTCTAGGACTAAAAGCCTTATCCTTTGAAATTAGATCTGTGTCATTTGGTACATCAAGAAATCAACAATCTGGTCAATGTGGTGATAAGTTTAGATAAATTAAAATCATTTAACAACTTTCAATTCATTTATGGTTAAATACTCTCAACAAACTAGAGAAATTTTCTTCAACCTGACAAAGAATGTCCGTATAATTCTTTATGTTAACATGCAGGGATTTCTGGGCGACTAAACAATTTCTCCTAAGATCAGCAAGGATGCCCACTCTTATCACTCTTAGTTACCATCACCTCAGAAGTCCTTGTCTGTGCTCCAAGACAAGAATGGAACGGAGGAAGAAAGAGAGAGGGAAGACAAAGCAGGCAAATTAGAAAAGGACTAACATATGTCAGCTTATAACCAACATGATTGCTAACACAGGAAAACCAGGGCAAACTACTAGAAAAACTGATGTTTATATTGGTGTGTGTGTGTGTGTGTGTGTGTGTGTGTGTGTGTGTGTGAAGCTGGAACATTCGATAACAAGTTTTCAGGATTATTATAAAGGCCCAGAAATCAAGAGACTGTGGCATATAGAACACAAGTCCAGAATAAGTCCACGTGGACATGGTGAATTGGGTTTTGGAAAAACAGAAAAGCCAAGCCCGCAGCTCTGGCACAAAGGACATTCATTGCAAACTAAACCTTAGCCGTAACTTACCAGATGTTAACATAAATTAACCTAAAGTCTGAATGTAAGGCAGGAAGTTTTACAATTTCTAAAACAAAAAGTAAAGGAAAAGAGATGTGTAGTTGTTTTATTCATGATTTTGTTGCACTGGGGATTGATCTCAAGCATCCTACCACTGAGCTATATTTAAACCTTCCCTGAATTTTTATTTTGAGGAAAGGCCTTGATAAGTTATCCTGCTGACCTTGAACTCACATTGTAGCTCAGGTTGGCCTTGAACTTTCCATTGTCCTTCCTCAGTCTAGGAAAGGATATTTTAAAGAGAACACTGAAACATGACCAAAAGGAAAAGAATGGACAGTTTGGACCCCAATGGTATTAATTTCTGTTCTAAAAAGGCCAATTGAGAGAATGAGGAGACAATTCACAGGCTGGAGAGAGACTACACATAAATTTAGCAAAGTTCTTGGATCTAAAATTTATGAAAGCTTTCAAACTTCAATAATAATAGAGCAGAAAACCCAATTTTGAAACTGGACAAAAGATTAGAATACACTTTATTAAAGAAATTCAACTACTCAAGGAACATGGAAAAATACTGGGTATCATTACTCATTAGTGAGATGAGAATCAAAAGCACAATACACGTCAGCACACATCTACCAGAGTGACAGACAGAGAGCCTGCCAAGCGCTGCAGACACTGGGAAGCCCTGGGCTTTCATGCACGGTACGTGTATGTGTTGTGTGGATACGAAGTGGTCCTTTTGGAAGGCAGCCTGACAGCTGCTTCTCAGGTTAAAGAGAGCCCTAGGAACCCTGTTGTGCCACCTCCAGGTATTCATCTAAGAGGTAAATCCTACATTTACATCAAAACGTGCATGCCAAAGCTGGGAGTATAGCTCAGTGGTAAGAGTGCCTACTTAGGACGCACAAGGGCCCGGGTTCGAGCCTCAGCTCTGCAAAACCCAGATGAAAACCCATATGAGAATACCTGTGGTGATCAGGTTGGTAGTTACCAAAATTAGAAAGGCCCACTAACAGATGAAGAAAGCACTATGAAGGCAGAATAAAGAATGGTTCTGTGGTGCCCTTTGCTACACACAGGAATCTCAAGTGCTTTATGCTAAGCCTAAGTAGCAGGGAAAACAAGCTGCAGATTGTGATGCTCTGCGAAGAGACTGTAAAAGGACTGTCTGTGGCAGGTGAGCGTGTGAAGGATTGATCAGTGCCCGTCTCTGCCTGGGGCTGAAGGCTGAAGAAAATGGAGGACTGCTACTCACTATGGGATTTGTTGGAGCTGACTCATTCTAAATTTGCTGTGGTGATGGCTGGCCTAATTCTGAATAAGCAACACTGAACTGTACCTTTAAATGGGGGAATTATTGGGTGTGTGAATAATTTCTCAAGACAGCTAATTAGAACTAAAAACTAAGTCAGCAGTGATGGCACACGCCTTTAATCCCAGCACTCAGGAGGCAGAGGCAGGCAGAAACACTGTCTCGAAAAAAAACTAAACAACAACAAAATAAAAACAAAAGCAAAAAACAAAAACTTAAAAAAATAAATAAAGGAAAATAATGAATAAATATGAGTTTCTTTAAAACACACAATTCAATTTTTTTTTCATGTGAGGATTGTAGCTGGGAATCAGATGTATATTAGCTTGGCATGCAAAAGGGGTTTTCCTGTCCAGTCGGTCATACAAGTAGGAATATTGATTAAGATAAAAGATGCCTGCTTCAATTTCAATTTTAGAGAACAAGCAATTGTAGGATAAGCATGTCCCAAATATTGTATAACATAAGACTACTACTCAAAACTTTTTAAGATACATGTGTGTGTGCATGTGTGTGTGTGTGTGTGTGTGTGTGTGTGTGCGTGCATGCGTGTGTGCATGTGTGTGTGTGTGGGGGGGGGGTGTTCATAGAAGCCAGAGGAGTCCCCGGTGTCTCTGGAGCTGTAGTCAAAGGTGGCTGTGAGCTACCTGAAGTAGGTTCTAGGAATTAAACCCTCTGGAAGAGCCGACCACTCTCTTGACCGCTGGGCCATCTTCCTAAATATTAGTCAGTGTCTAAATTTCAAGTTTAAACGGGAGATTTGCATTTCTCCTTGCTGCACGTGGCAACCATGGGCCCACATTTAACATTTCAAACTGTGCTATCGCAGAAAAAGTACATAAACTAAATACCTGGTCAAGAACATGGACCTTAATAGAAGCGCACAGACCTCAGTGTTAGACTGTGCTACTCAAGTGAGATTTGAAGAAGCGATTTGCATTTTAAAACTTCTCATGTCTCAAATACATTTCCTTCCTAAAATGAAATAACTTGAAGGGATTATGTTCGGTAAATACTTTTACATTTCTTTGATTACAATTAAATCTCCTACAAAAAAAATTAAAGACTGATGAACTTACATAATTACTATCACGAACATAATGTGAAGGGCATGTCTGTGATGTGGCATTGCTACTTTTTCCCTTTTTGAGTTGAACAAGGCTGACAGAAAGTCTGATTTTTCTGGATGATGGTAAATATAGTATGCATATTAATTTTAGCTTTGATTCAATTGCTCCAATATTTAAGAAATTTTGTGAAACTAGAAAACGCAAACATGACTTTCTGTCTGGATGTGGTGCCGCAGACCTTAGCTCCAAGCACTAGGAAGCTGAGGCAGGGGGATTGCTGCAAGGTCAAAGTCAGCCTTCAGTCCCTGGTGAGACCCTGTTTCAAAGCCAAGAAACAAATGAGGAAACACCTTTCTGAAAACGATATAATGTCAGTGGTACTGGCCTAACCAAGGCCTGTGTGTGTAGATTTGACTTTCCAGAGATATCGTTAAAATCCAGATGGCATGTATTAAGTTTAAAATCTTTTGAAATTTTAGGAGCCTCTGTCATTGAAGCTGGGACCTCAGAAAGTTACAAAAACAATAAAGCGAAACTGTACTGGCACGGGATAGGGTTCCTCAATTATGAGACACCACCAGACATGATTCTTCAGGTAAGTACTAAATGGGACGACGTCACATCTATCTTACAATTTTGTTGTCAAGGTCCATGATTGTCTTAATGTTTAAAATGGAGGCAAGAACATCCACGCTACCTACAGAACCTAGGCACTTCTTACATTTCTATACCATTTCTATTATTTATCTTACAGCACTAAACTATTTTTAATTATTGTGTTTTTGAGATCAGAAAACTAGACTTTGTCAGAACATGGAATTCCATACCTTTCACTTACACTGATTCTGTGACCTCCCTTTTCCACTGAAAACTTCAGTCATTCAACAAACATTTGTTAAAAGAGGCTGTGCCCCAAATGCCAGTCGGCATTAGATGCTATGCCAATCGCACGTCCTCACAGGGTTGACTGTAACAGAAACGTCCACTTAGCCTTTTCGTTCACTTGGAAACACCACGACTGTCAACACACTATGAGCCGCATATCAGAAGTTGCTTTCAAATTGTATCTTCAGAGTCAAACCTACACTCTCTTCTTGCCAGGTTACAATTTTGCATCTAATAAAAGAAATACTGTGTTTTTCTTCTTTACCACCAGGACCTCCATCACCACTATTATCCACCATTGTCGTCTCCCCGTCAGCCATCACTAGGATCACCTTCATTTTCACTACCACCATCATCACCTTCACCACAAACACCACTGTCTCCTTCCTCATCACCGCCAGCACCATCCAAACCATGAGCACTATCACCACCAGCACCATCCAAACCATGAGCACTATCACCACCAGCACCATCCAAACCATGAGCACTATCACCACCAGCACCATCCAAACCATGAGCACTATCACCGCCAGCACCATCCAAACCATGAGCACTATCACCGCCAGCACCATGCAAACCATGAGCACTATCACCACCAGCACCACCAGCACCGTCCACACTTCTGCCTCTAGCTGCCTTTTAGCAGTCTAGTAACAGCAGTGAAAGAAAACACACTGCTGTGGTAAAGGCTCCGACGGACCAGACGTAGGGTGTTTGGGAAGGTCTCCTGTTTGCTGGATGTCCTAAGACGCTTACAGTTGCTAGTGATGAGGTGCTCGGTATTGAAAGATTTGATTTATGTACCCAGAAAAGAGATTAATTTCGTGTTTTCTTTCCAGCCAGATGTCCACCCTGGAAAGTGCTGGGCCTTTCCAGGCTCCCAGGGTCATATCCTGATCAAGCTAGCCAGGAAGATCATCCCGACAGCAGTTACCATGGAGCACATCTCAGAGAAGGTGTCCCCCTCAGGAAATACCTCGAGCGCACCCAAGGATTTCTCTGTCTATGTGAGAAGCTGTCTACACCTGTCATTCAGCGTGGATTGAGATAGAGGGTGTTGACTGGGAAGGAGGAGCTAGACTCGTGTCTCTGGGGATTGAACTTAGGGCCTCTTGTAGGCTAAGCTAGAACTTTACTACTAAGCTGTCGTCAGCCCTGGACTCGCCTTTTAACTGTGCACTAACTTCTTGGGTATTATTTTACTTCAAGGGCTTTTGCCTTGTTAGTTACAAACTGGGAGGATTGGACCAGATGATTTTTATGTTTGCCTTTATATTTTTACTTTACACCTAAAAGTTATACACATACACCTCTTTCAAAATGCTGGCTATTGACATCAGCTTCATGAGGCACCTTCCTGCTTCTCCCTGTTCCCAGTTCTTTTTGTCTCCAAGGTTCCGTTAGCAGCAGTTCTTCCTGTTAGTGAGGCACCCGCTTCCATATTTCCTTTACCGTCATTTCTTCATTTTTCAGTGTTAGATATTATTTGACGGCTCCCTCCAGTGGAAGATGAAAATGACATCTTTTCTGTGGCTCTGCCCATCCACTATCTTTGTCTTTAAAAAACAGGTTCACAGAGATATAACTCACATAGCATAGGACCATTTGAAGCGCACACTTCAGTGGTTCCAGTACATGTGTATTCACACTTCTGAGTCTACCACTACAATTTTAGAACTTTTTTGGGTTTTTCCGAGACAGGGTTTCTCTGTGTAGTTTTGGTGCCTGTCTTGGATCTCACTCTGGAGACCAGGCTGGCCTCGAACTCACAGAAAGCTGCCTGGCTCTGCCTCCCAAGTGCTGGGATTAAAGGCGTGCGCCACCACCGCCTGCCCAATTTTAGAACATTTTTTGTTGCCTCCCAAAGGAACCCAATACTGCTTAATTTTCACCTCTCATCCTCATCACATCCCTAGCCCTTGGCAACCACTAATGGACTTTGACTCATAAATTCACCTGTGCCGGACATTATCATTATCATACTGTTTTGTGTGCTCTCTAGTGAATGATTAACACCATGCTTGCAAGGTTCAGCTACGTTGTAGCACCTGTAAATATTTGGCTTCTTTTTGGAAGCAAAGAATAAGTATTTGATTGTTTGTATTTTACTTATCCATTAGTTGGTAGACATCTAAGAGTTATTTGCAGGGTTTGGGCTTTTACGGGTAATGAGACTGTGAATATTTGTGTACAAGAGTTTACCACGGATGTTGGGTTTTGTTTCTATGGACTACATATTGGATTGCAACTCCTAAACCTGTGTTTCATGTTTGAGGCTCGGGCGAGGAGAGATGTATGTCTTTTTTTGTTTGTCTCAATCAGTGGTCAACGTTTTCCTGGTGACTACTGGGCATGACTTTCTGTTGAGCCACAGAGCACTTGAAAGTTACTTTTTTACTGAACACATTTTAAACATCTCCAAAGGTGTTTGCCACCTGTCTGTCTAATTTGCTTACTTTGGTATATTTCCATCTCTAATACATTGCTCTTCATCAGAGGTGCGTATTCCCCCATTGCTAGTTCAAGTCAGATAAACCGTGCTTCCCTCGCCCTCCTCCCCTCCTCCCAGCCACCCCATTGGAACTCTTCTCCCTTTGGCTCCTATCTGATGACTGCTAGATGAGCCTGGTGCATGGCTGTTATTGCGGGGTCCCATTCCCGAATCCTGAAGTCTGTTCTCATTTTCCTTTTCTGATTCATAGTCCATCTCTGAATGGCAGTATCTATTTTATGTTAACACCCGTGTAAAATTTTCTCCCACCATGCTCATACTCTCTAAGACTTTGATATCCATAAATATTGCTTACTTAGAGTCTTTTGTATTGGCAGTATTGTCTACTTTGCATCAGAAGACACTAATTGATAGCAGAGTTTAGTTTCATCTTCTGTTTGTTTACAGGGTCTCTGTTGATCTTTTAAGTTGCTTTTCTTGAATGCCTTCCTTGATGCTCCGTTGAAGCCTGGCGGCACAGTCAATGCAGTAGACTCTGAAAGGATTCCTGCATGTGGCAAGTGTCAACCTGGCTGGTCTGCACAGGACAGACCTCAGCTGCACAACCAGCTGGCTCAGGGAAAGATCTCTTGGCTGGGGTTGGTGGGCAGGGACTGCCATGAACTGACAGCCCCCGTTGTTAAAATGACAGTCAGCCAAGCCTCAGATCTGAGTCCCTCTGCTCCCTGTCCTCTACCCTACCATGGCCCAGATCCCCAGCCTTTCTGGGCTTGCAGCCTAAGTCCCTGTGGTGCTAGTGTATCCTCAAGCCACAGGAGTTCGTGTTTCCGTCTGCTGTCCTTTGACCTTCCCTGTGGTTTTTGTCTGAGTGCCTGCTCCCATTTTTCCTTGAAGGCTTAGGCCTTACCTCTGCCCTTTGATATGACTGGCTAGAGGAGGCTGGAGCCCACTTCCTGTACCCACCAGTGCTTCTAATTGCGTGCTGCTGAGGCTTCCCGATTGCAGCCTCTGATGCTCACATGCATTGCAGGGTTGAGTTAGGGATGAGTTTTGGCAGGCCCGGCATGTCTGTGTTTACGCGCACTACTGTTCCTTACTTGCAGGCGTTCGGGCTGGTTCCTCCAGGCAGGAATCATTTAGCAATAACAAGTCCTTCCCATTTTCCTTCTGTATTGCAGAATTGATGGACCAAGGGCTTCCTCTGTTGCTCTTGGTCCCGTTTACTTTGAAACAGGGTTTCTCTCACTGAACTGGAAACTTGTCTTGCTGTCATCTTGCTGGCCAGTCACCTTGCTGTCACCTTGCTGGCCAGTGGGTTCTCGGGTTCTATCTGTCTCTGATCCCCAATGTTGGGGTTACAAGCACAGGCAGCCTTTTTCACATAGAAGCTGGGGATTTGAACGCAAGTCTTCAAGCTTGCACAACAAGCAATGTTATCCTCTGAGCCATCTCCCAAGCTCCAGCACAGGCAGTTGCAGGTGAACTGTTGTGCTTGAACACCCGCATCCATTACCCTCCATCAAGCACCCACCCGCTCGTTACAGCCTCCATGCCTGTTGTTCTCTTTGCAGGGCATTCTGAAAAAATGTGAAGGAGAAGAAATGCTCCTAGGCCAGTTTACGTATAACAAAACGGAAACAACCATTCAAACATTCGAGCTCCAGGTAAAAATCCACTGGGAAATGCTAAGTTCTGTTGGCCTCATCACTAAGGGGGATTCGCTAGAACTGCTGCCTGAAAATAATTACGACTGAAGCAAAAGCTAAAGAAGGCTGTCATAAATCCATTCTTTGCTTCAAATGCTCACATGTATTTTAATGCACATCATTTAACAGTATGTTATCGGTGCACAATTAATTATAATAGACAATTACAAAAGCAATTTCTAACCCATTCTCACTTGCTACTATTTTCCTATGTATTGAAGTTCTTAGTCCTTTTTCTTTTAATGGTGCATCCAGTACATGTACAGGAAACAACCCACCATATGAGCAATTCAGTTTGATAATGACTGCCTCGTCTGTCTTGAGTAAAGGGACTAGCTTTGAAGGTGTGATGAGGTGGAGAGAGGGAAAAATGAACTCAGTCAATATTTAATGCCAGATAATATAGATTCATCTTTTCTTCCTAAGCCAATGAGGGAAAACACCCACTGTTAACTGATAAACTTCCTGAAGTGCACTAAAGTGTGTAAAATATCTCTTCATTATTTATAGTTAGCCACAGGAATTGACGTAACTGAAGAGAGGTAGAAAGCATCTCATACTATGTAAGGATAGGTGTTAATGATACTTTTTGGTCAACAATGAAATTGGTCCAAGCCCCACCCAAACCAAGTGCCTAAACAGCTCTGCTCTCACAGACAGAATCACACGGCAGATGGACAAGGCTTTGGGACTGTACTAAGCAAGTAAAGGTTTTCCTTGGTAGTGTATCTTAGACACTACAGCATAGTGATGGTTTACATGGCATTTGCACTGTGTTCAGGATTGTAAGACATCTTGAGATGGTCTTAACTATGTGAAAAGTTAACCTTGACTTCTATGCAAGTATTATGCCATTTTATATTGGGGACTTGAGAACCCATGGATCTACTTATCAACAGGAGGTCCTGGAAACCATCTTCCCAGATACCAAGGGATGGCTAACTATGATAAATGAGCATATCTGTAGAGTTCTATATCTTATTTGCACATTCATATAGGTTTTGATTCATATTAGCTTCGAGTTTTGTTGAGGTTGTGTTTATTTTCATTTTAATGAAATGGGATCTTGCTATGGTAGCTCAGCTTAGCCTTTAACTCATGTTTCTTCTACTTCAGCCTTCACAGATGGTTTTCAGGGTCTTGCTTTTTCATACAACTCTCCTTTTATTGGCACAGCAGTGAGTGTGAGGAGGGAAGTCAGCCACAGTGAGAGCCACTGGTGTGCTTAGACCTCCTGAATACCTTCATGTCTCGATATCTGTCTGGTCATGGGCTCTTCCTTCTAGGAGCTCCTTTTCCCATCCATTAGAGCACTATTTGAAAGTTGTGTTAGGGAAGGAAAGAGGTTCCCACATTCCACACTGTATCAGTGTTCATTGGGATTCTTTGAGAGCAGCTTTTATAACTCATTCATGTTTTCTTTGTTTCCAGAATGCAGCGTCTGAGTCTTTGTTATGTGTGAGACTTCAAATCCTCAGCAACTGGGGACATCCAAAGTATACTTGTTTGTACAGATTCAGAGTCCATGGCATCCCCAGTGATCACACTTAGAGGAGCTGGTGCAGAAGGTGGCAGCCGTGCAGGCAGAATGTCCAAGGATGCTTGCCATTCCCTTACATCAGATTGTACCCCTAAGAACCAAAGATTTGGAGTGAGAGGGAAGCCTCACACTCACCCCTACTAGGCAGTAAGAAGTAAATGGATTTTACTAATAAAAAAATGAAAGTCAATTCAACACCTTCTGGTAGTTCACTCTGAGCATCCAGAGGTGATTTTGTATTTAGAAGAGGGTCTCACTGGGAACCCACCACAGCTTCTGCACTTTAAGTTGTTTGTCCTCCACATCAGGCACAATGCCCACTATCACCACTGTTAACCAACCCTGAGCTACAGGCTCTGGGCCGTGGAAGTGGAGAAGCCCCAGATAATGTTTAAGTTAGAAATAAAAGTCAACAGCAAGTTCTGGCCGTGAACGTTTGCAGATGATTTGATGGACTCCTCAGAATTCAGTACTGTCCCTTTAAAAATTACAAACGGGCCAGCCACATGGCTCAGCTGGGAAAGGCCCTTTGGGGCCAAGTCTGATGATCTAAGTTCAGTCCTCAGAACATACATGGTGGAAGGAGAGATCCAGCTCTCCAAAAACTGTCCTCTGACCTCCGATACAAAATAAATAAATAAATATAATTTAAAAAATTACAAACAAGTAAAATCTGTACAATCTGTTAGATGTGAAACTACTGCATGTAAATCAAAGCTACGCATAAATAAAAACAATGATCAGATGTAGCTGCAAGTTTTTCTGTGTCCTGCCTGGCCCGCGGTCGAGACAAATCATTCACCCACAGTCCCGCAGCCTTTTGTAAAATAATCACACAGAGGCTTATATTAATTAAAACTGCTCAGCCATTAGCTCAGGCTTCCTACTGACAAGCTCTTATACTTAAACTCAGCCCATTTTTTGTTAACCTATATGTTGTCACACGTTCTGTGGCTTTACCTGTGTGCTATTACATGCTGCTCCCTGGATGGCTTGCTGGCGTCTCCCCACTCAGCCTTCCTCTTCCCAGCATTTTCCTTGTCTGCTTATCCCACCTATACCTCCTGTCTGGCTACTGGCCAATCAACATTTTATTAAACCAGTGTACAAAAGCATTATTCCACAGCAGTCAGATCAAGGGCATAATTTATAAAAGCCACAGCCAAGACCATAAGCATCAGGTAAAATAAAGGAGAATTGTGTATGAGGGAAAGGCCCCATGTAACAGAAAATGATTAAAAGGTTTCAATAAAGGGCAATCCTGGTTCAGCTGTGAAGACATCAACTCTCTTTAATCTAATTTAGAATTATAACGATCTCAAGTCAAACCAGAAAGTTATGGTACAGTCGTGAGACAGTAATGGGTGACGGGGCTCACCTGCAGAGACATGGCAGAACACATGGCCAGCATCGGTGAAGCCCTGGGTTCTATCCCCACCAGGGAAGCAAAAAGTGTCACTGCCAAAAAAAATTCATAAATATCTGCATGAAATTGGTATTGCAATTTTATTTTTAAAAAGAATTACTTCTGTGCATAGAGGCAGAACACCTAGAATCCCAGCACTGGGGAAACTGAGGCAGGAAGAGCCTGAGTTTGAGGCTGGCCTGGGACAATTAGACAGTTCTTGTCTCAAATAAAAACATGCCTTGACCATCAGGATGGTTCAGCCAATAACAGAGGCTATCCTCTCTGAGGATGTGAATTTTGATCCCTGGAACTCACATGGTGGGAAGAAAACCAACTCGTGCAAGCTGTCCTCTGATTTCCACAGGCACATACATGCCATGCCATACACACACACACACACACACACACACACACACACACACATACGCAAGCACACAACACATAAAATAAATAGATATAAAAATATGCTTACTATGCCATGATTTAACAAATGGCTCACTTTTGAAAAAGAAATGTTATTCTTTTTATTTATATTTTTAAATATTTATGTGTGATATGATGCACCTTGGATCTGTTTTCAAATTCTGCAAAGAGAAGAAAAGAAGTAGGAAGGTGGAAAAAGAAGATGCGTGTGAAATGGTCACTGAGGTGGACACAGCTCTCCATGGGGACTGTTACTCTGTTCAGTCGACATTCACATATGTTGATATTTCAACGTTAATTTGGCTTTGGAAGAGCAAAATATGCATGGTTTTAAAACCTCAAAAGGTAGAATCACAAGACTAATTTGATTCTAAATTTCATAACAATGCGTCTACTATTCTTCAAGAGTCTGTATTAGGAAGTCTGGCCTTTGTAATATGAGTGGCAGATATGTTTCCGTCTTGTTTAAGATTTATTTGCAATGTCATGTCATTATTTACAGAAACCTGAAAAAGTATCATCAGATGAAAAAGTTCTGTGACAAAGGCTTAAAAAAGTAGTTAGAGCCGGGCGGTGGTGGCGCACGCCTTTAATCCCAGCACTCGGGAGGCAGAGGCAGGTGGATCTCTGTGAGTTCGAGGCCAGCCTGGTCTACAGCGCGAGATCCAGGAAAGGCGCAAAGCTACACAGAGAAACCCTGTCTCGAAAAACCAAAAAAAAAAAAAAAAAAAAAAAAAAAAAAAAAAAAAAAAAAAAAGTAGTTAGAACCACGTGGTGCTGGCACACTGGCCATCAGGGGAGCTGGCAGGTTCAAGACTAGATTTCTTTTTTTTTTTCTTTTTGGTTTTTCGAGACAGGGTTTCTCTATGTAATAGCCTTGGCTGTCCTGGAACTCACTCTGTAGACCAGGCTGGCCTCGAACTCAGAGATCCATCCACCTGGCTCTGCCTCCCGAGTGCTGGGATTAAAGGCGTGCGCCACCACCGCCCGGCCAAGACTAGATTTCTATCTGTGTGAGCAGCAAGCTGCAAACTCACAGGCACGGAGTCTTAGTTTTCTCTTGCTAACGTTACAGCACTATGAACTTGTAAGTTACAAGTAAAAGCCGTGATTTCTGCTCACAGCTCTGGTAGTTTCTGAAGGATGCATTTGTCAGTGGCTTTCATACTGGCATTCTCAAGGCTCAGGGGAAGAGCAGGAAGCTTACAAGACCTAGCCAAACTGGCTCTTCGTCAGTCCACCCAGGCGATAACATGTAATCCACTAACCATATGAACGGTTAATCGGTCGGTGAGTGCAGAGCCATAATCACCACTTAGTGCTTTTACCTACAAATACAACAGGAATCACACAACCATATTCAAGGCATAGCACCTGAGCAAAACCAAGCAAATGACTTGGAACAATTATCTAGCCATTAAGAAAACAAAATGGCTTCTTTATTTATTGCTTTACAATGTGATAAATCCCCAATATAGCATGGTAAAATATTTACAAGTGGGTAATGAAACCATAAAAGCCTTAATAAAACTGGGGCTAATTCTTGTATGATATTGGATAGAGGAAGCTACAAAAGCATAAAAATTTTATATAAACAACAGCGTTGCAAATACAACCTTAAACAAGATGGAAACACATCTGCCACTCACATTACAAAGGCTAATTTTTCTAATACAGACTCTCAAGCAGCAACACTAACGTGAACCCATCATGGAAGTTCTAGTAGTTAATCAATCCGCAGAATGTTCAGCCTAGGTGCACCTTTTCAGCAAATGTTGGCTCACATGGTCCACATCCAACCAATACTGGTCTATTTCCTCCTGGGTTGGATGTGATCCTTCTCAAGTCTTCGTCCCTCTGCACTTTGTGTAATAGTGCTAGTGTACTACACTAATGCAATTTTTAAAACCTATGGGATTTACTGAAGAGGTTTTATTTGACATCCAAAAGATGAGGAGTCCCTTGAACAGCTTCTGAAGCAGAAACACATTCCTGAGACGAGGACAGTTCTCAAAATGACATTCACTCACGCCATCGCTACAATGTGAGTTTCCACCTCACAGTTTTCTCGTGTGAACAATAAGATGAATACTGACTTACAGATTTGCTGTAGAACTCTGAGCGATGCCGCTTTCTTTCCCTCTGGGGTAGGTTTTTTCAACACTCACTGCTAACAAGCCCGCAAAGAAATGAGTCTGTCCTCCCCGTGAGACTACTGAGGATGATCAGGCATGTGACAGACACAGCCATGCCAGCTTTGGGTAACAGTAAGACATGCAGCTCACCTAGGTAGCAGCTCTAAAGATGCCACTTCCCTAACCCCCGACTGTATATACTGAGTGCCATTTTATATAATGTATTTCCTCTCCTAAGACAAGATCAGGTAGGATGTTTTACTCCTAGAAGTAAACATAACACCAACATTGCTCTGCAGATCCTCATGTGACTGAATGGCTCACCCTGAAGATTTGAACTTTATAAAAATCAAAAGCCCACTTACTACCTAGATGGAAAATAACAAGCAGACATTGCATTAGAAAATGCTCTGGCTCATAGGACTTCTGGAATTCTCTAGCGTGATTTCTTGAGAAAATCATTTGGAAAGAAAATATGGAAATGCCAGCATATTTAAATATCAATTCTGAAATCATTAACTTTGCTTGCTAAACCTATTTAGCTTAATTGCAAGAACATATAAGATTAGTGTTTTCTTCTAAGAAAAAAGATTGTCAGAGCTTACTTATATATTTGTTGAGCAAAATTCTTATTTGAGATTCATCAATAGGGAACGTATAATCATCATCATCATTATTATACCCATCTCTTCTTAGGAATTAAAAAAAATTGTTTTGCCATTTTATTGCATAATATTAAGCAATTTAAAATAGAGATCAGATATAATGGCTTACAAAGTTTATTTAAACACAGTCTTTGGAAACTGGTGAGATGGCTCAGTGGTAATGCTCTTGCCTTGAAATCATAGGAAACCAAGTTCGAATCCTCGCTTTGAACATACAAAAACAGCCAAATGGGCTTAGCAAACATTTGTAATCCTACCATTCCTATGGTGAGACAAGAGGCAGATAGAAGAATCCCCAGGAGCTCAGGCTCCAGCTAGCCTGAGGTATTCATCAGCAGATGGCTGAGACAGACCCTGTCTCAAACAAGGTGGAAGGTGAATCCCCAAACCAGAGCTTGTCCTTTGGCCTTCACATGCGCTCCAATGCATGGATGACCCTGAGTACATGCATGTACACACAGACAGCACATCCTTTAATCACAAAATATATGTAACAGTTACCTTATTTCATGGGACATTAGTTATTTCAAAATTAAGTTCTAAATAAAAAAGCAAGTTTTGTTGACATTCAAAAGTAATATGTGACATTTGGCTTGCCAACCACTTGTATGTCACAGAGTAGACTAGAATTTAGCCTCATGTTTATATATATATATATATATATATATATATATATATATATATATATATATATATCACTTTACTGATAGTCTGCACTATCAGCTGTTTTATTAATATCTTAGTTCTGTGTACCATGTTAGAAACAATTTTTAATATTTTTAAAAATTTACTGTGTGTGTGAATGTGAGCATGCTCATGCCAAGGTATACTTGTGGAAGTCAGAGGACAACTTTTGGAAATACACCAGGGCTCAAACCCAGGCCTTCATGGTAAACTCTGTTGCCTGCTGAACCATCTTGTACCCTCCAGAGATCTAGTTTTATGTTATTTTCAAAGGAATTTAAGAATATTTGGGGTGGGGGTTGAATATGTAGTGCCTTGGAAGAATGCTAGAAAGTGGGGAAGCCTGGGAGTTTAATCCCCAATGTCATTTTAAAAATTTTACAGTTATAACCCTTGAAAAAACAAAGTGTTCTATTCTGGATTAAAAATCCTTTTAAAACAATTCTAAGGACACTATACTAAGAGGGCTTTTGTTTGTGTATGGTACCGGGATTAATGCAAAAGTCACAACTGTGTTCAGCAAGTGATCTCCAGACACACACACACACACACACACACACACACACACACACATACACACACACACACACACACACACACACACACACACACACACACACACTGAGGGTGGGGGGAGAAAGGCGGAGAGGAGGAGTCCTACTCTCTTAACCGCCCCCCACACCCCGCTTTCCTATCTTCCCGTTCCTTCTTTCATTTTTCTTTCTTTTTAAAATACTTGTTGACATAATGTCACTAGGATGCCCAGGCAGGTCTCCAACCTGAGATCCCCTCGCCTAAGCACCCTCATTAGCTAGGGCTAATAAGAATTTTATAGGCTCTGATGAGTTTCTATAGAGACCAAGGTGCAGAATTATCACTTCCCATCAGTGGTCTTCGGGCATCCTTAGTAAGTCATGTGTTCAAGGTTTTAAAACGTTTCAAACAATTTTCAAAACTTCAAAATGCTACGTTGCCAGGGATCCAAGTGGTTTTCAGGACGTGACTTCTCGGAGCCGCTTCCCTGCACCCGGGGTGTGAGGGTCACCAAGGTTGTGGATGGGCGGCCCCCCTCTCCGCCTTTGACCTGGGCGATCGAGCGGCGAGCGGACCTCTCCGGCCGCAACGTCTCGGCGGAACCTCTGTGCGAGCGCCCGCGTTTCCCCGCCGGGACGCTCCGGGAGGGACTTTCGTCCGCCTTGGGCCGAAGCTGCTGCCGGCTTGGAAGCCGCCATGAAGTTTCGCGCCAAGATCGTGGACCTGGCTTGTCTGAATCACTTCACACGTGAGCTGGCAGGGCTGCGGGGAGCGAGCGGAGAGTGCGGCTGCAGCCCTGTGAGAGGACGGGCGGGGTGGAGGGCACAGCTGGGGCCCGTAGGCTGGGAGGGCGGCCCTGAGTGGGGCGGATGTCTACCGGGGACCTTTCCCTTTGCAGTGATCCCTCACTCTTTCTCCCGCCGGGACTATGCCTAACCTTGCTCGCAGGCAGTTCTGTTCTGCGGTACCCAGCTGCCCCCACGTTTATGTGAAATGTGGTCCCCGGTTGTCAGTTGTTCTCTGAGACTGTTTCATTATTGGACACTGGTGCTGTGGGCTGTGTGCCTCGCAGGGTCTTCCGGCAAGATGTCAGCGGCGTTGAAGTACTAGCGTGATCCTTGAACTAGAAGTTCTGCAAGATGACCTGTAGGCTACCCGGTGTGCAGCTTAGTAACTGCTTACTTTATTTACCCCCGTCGCTACAGGAGTCAGTAACATGATAGCCAAGCTTGCCAAAACCTGCACCCTCCGCATCAGCCCGGAGAAGCTGAACTTCATCCTTTCGGACAAGCTGGCCAGTGGTGGGGTGAGCATGTGGTGTGAGCTGGAGCAGGTGAGCAGGAACACCCAGAGGCCCGGGGCTCCAGCCAGGAGTGCTGAAAACGCCATAAATGCCTGTTTCTGTCCTGCAGGAGAACATTTTTAGTGAATTTCAAATGGAAGGAGTCTCCGCAGAAAACAATGAGATTTATTTAGAATTAACGTCAGAAAACTTATCCCGAGCCTTGAAGACTGCCCAGAACGCCAGAGCCTTGAAAATCAAGCTGACTAACAAACACTTTCCCTGTCTTACCGTGTCTGTAGAGCTGGTAAGTAAGAGGAAAAGGATTTCTGAATTTTTTTTATACGAATGTCTTGTTTTGGTCTAGAAAATATAGGGAGTTATAAGCCTGAGCTTTCAAACAATATTCTTGAAAGTGAATTAGTTTCATTTGAAATATAAGATCTAGTCCAGCAAGGTGGCAAATGTCTTTAATCCCAACACTCAGGAAACAGAGACAGGAAGATCTCTGTGAGTTCCAGGACTGCATAGAGACCCTGTCTCAAAAAAAATATAAGATCTGGTTTATGACTTACATGTGAGAAGTGTACCTTGTCCTAGTCATTTTTAAACAAAGTCTTGACTGCGCAGTGTTCAGCAGGATACTGCTTTTCCCAAACAATCAAACTACTAGTTAGAACCTCTTTCTTTTAGGATGTTGTCATCTTGTCTAGATGTTTTTAATTCATTTTCATCTTAAAATTTCCCCCTCCTATCTCATCATCTGTAATATTCTTAAATAAACAGTCCTCATACTTAAGTAACACATTTGTCTTAGAAGCTATTACTAGATGAGTTTAGTGAACAGCCTGTCCTCAAAACACACAAAAACACATGTACAAGATGGTATTTGTAATTCCTAACATGTTTATAGCTTTTCACATATGGCCCAAACTATCTTGGAGCTAAATCATAAATTACTACCCTCTGAGTTCTCTGGATATGTCGTTTTTTTCCCCCAGTTCCCAGGCTGGTGACATTAATTAGACTTTCCACATGGAGTTTCTCTCCAAAACCTTTCCTTTCTTTAGTGCTCTGCCCCAACCCACCCAGGCCCCCATTACCTTTACAGCTTTCCTTTCTTATATGTGCTCTGCACATCTGGGGGTGAGTATTACATTTGTTTTCAAGCTAGCGATAGAAGTTAATTCCTGGCTTCATAACTTTTTATGTGTTCTTAGAGCTAATTAGAGCATTCTGAGTAATTCCAGTTGTCTTCATCCAGCAGTAGTAGAATTGTGACACATGATATCCCCATAAAGGTTATTCCTAGAAGATTGTGGAAGGATTTACAAGAACCCTCTGTCCCAGACTCTGATATTAAGTTTGAGTTTAAATAAACTTTCTTAAGGTAAAGCAAGATCATAATATACAATACTTTTCTGAGTAAGAATGCAAGATACTTTGGTTTATTTTTTCTTGTTGTTATTTCAAGACAGGGTCTCACTATGTAACTCTGGCAGTCTCAGAATTCACTATGTAGGCCAGGCTGACCTCAAACTTACAGAGATCCACCTGCCTCTGCCTCTTGAGTGCCATGTGTGCCACTATTCCTAGCAATACTTTGGTTTCTGAGTTTTAGAGATGCTTCTAGAATAAACATGGTTTATCTTTTTAGTGGTGTAGAAACTGCAGAATGCTGAGGGTGTGGCACACAGTGGTGTCTAGGTGACCCAGCAGATTTGCCTCTGTCTGTCTCCTGGGTTTATGAATGCTGACACTGTTTCTTTGCCAGAAACCCTGTCCCCTCATCTTCAGCTTCCCAGAGGCTGTGTGCCTCTTTAGTTTTGGTGTCCTCCGAAGCATCACCCCAGAGGGTTGTCCTTACACTCCCCTCTGGCAGCGCTCTCTCATCCAGCCTCCTCCCCACTCTCCCTCATCCAGCCCCCTTCCCACTCTCCCTCATCCAGCCTCCTCCCCACTCTCCCTCATCCAGCCTCCTCCCCACTCTCCCTCATCCAGCCTCCTCCCCACTCTCCCTCATCCAGCCTCCTCCCCACTCTCCCTCATCCAGCCTCCTCCCCACTCTCCCTCATCCAGCCTCCTCCCCACTCTCCCTCATCCAGCCTCCTCTCCACTCTCCCTCATCCAGCCTCCTCTCCACTCTCCCTCATCCAGCCTCCTCTCCACTCTCCCTCATCCAGCCTCCTCCCCACTCTCCCTCATCCAGCCTCCTCCCCACTCTCCCTCATCCAGCCTCCTCCCCACTCTCCCTCATCCAGCCTCCTCCCCACTCTCCCTCATCCAGCCTCCTCCCCACTCTCCCTCATCCAGCCTCCTCCCCACTCTCCCTCATCCAGCCTCCTCCCCACTCTCCCTCATCCAGCCTCCTCCCCACTCTCCCTCATCCAGCCTCCTCCCCACTCTCCCTCATCCAGCCTCCTCCCCACTCTCCCTCATCCAGCCCCCTCCCCACTCTCCCTCATCCAGCCTCCTCCCCACTCTCCCTCATCCAGCCCCCTCCCCACTCTCCCTCATCCAGCCTCCTCCCCACTCTCCCTCATCCAGCCTCCTCCCCACTCTCCCTCATCAGCCTCCTCCCCACTCTCCCTCATCCAGCCTCCTCCCCACTCTCCCTCATCCAGCCTCCTCCCCACTCTCCCTCATCCAGCCTCCTCCCCACTCTCCCTCATCCAGCCTCCTCTCCACTCTCCCTCATCCAGCCTCCTCTCCACTCTCCCTCATCCAGCCTCCTCTCCACTCTCCCTCATCCAGCCTCCTCTCCACTCTCCCTCATCCAGCCTCCTCTCCACTCTCCCTCTTCCAGCCCCCTCTCCACTCTCCCTCATCCAGCCTCCTCCCCACTCTCCCTCATCCAGCCTCCTCTCCACTCTCCCTCTTCCAGCCTCCTCTCCACTCTCCCTCATCCAGCCCCATCCCCACTCTCCCTCATCCAGCCTCCTCCCCACTCTCCCTCATCCATCCCCATCCCCACTCTCCCTCATCCAGCCTCCTTCCCACTCTCCTTCATCCAGCCCCATCCCCACTCTCCTTCATCCAGCCTCCTCCCCACTCTCCCTCATCCAGCCTCCTCCCCACTCTCCCTCATCCAGCCCCATCCCCACTCTCCCTCATCCAGCCTCCTCCCCACTCTCCCTCATCCAGCCTCCTCCCCACTCTCCCTTATCCAGCCTCATCCCCACTCTCCCTCATCCAGCCTCATCCCCACTGCACTTTCTTCAGGCTCTGATGAGCATCTGGTGCAGCTTTGTGCTCTTGCCTTCTAGTTGCTCCATTTGTTCCACAGGGGCCTCGTTGTCTCATTCCCCACACTTCTCAGACTCACAGGACCCAAAGCAGAACAGATGTACCATGCCAACAATATTGGTTGAATAGATTTTGAGAGGATGAATTAAGAACATTCCATTTGGAATTCAAAAGGTTTAGCGTCAGTTCTTATGTTTTGGTTTCCTTTTAGCGTTGACAACATAAAATATTGTGACTTTTTTCTTAGCAGTTGTCGTCATCGAGCAGCAGTAGAATCGTGACACATGATATCCCCATAAAGGTTATTCCTCGAAGATTGTGGAAGGACTTACAAGAGCCGTCTGTCCCAGACTCTGATGTAAGTGCTGTCTACAGCCCTGTTGTCCAACACACACTAAAAGGCAGGATTGAACTCTCCAGTGCTAGTCGTCATCTTGCCGTGTGTTTTGTTTGAATTTGTATAGTTTCTGAAAAGAATGCGAGTCACTTAACAAGACTCCAGACGTGAGGATGTGCCTTTTGCTATCTGTGTGGATCCTGTTAAAGAGCCGGTTCCCATTTAGAAATGCCATACTTTCCCTAGGGGAGTGCAAATGCCTTACTCACTGACGGCTGATAGACAAAGGAAACAGAGCCTAAGTTATGCTTTGAAAGACAGTCTGGGGCCTGGAGAGATGGCTCAGAGGTTAAGAGCACTGACTACTTACTCTTCCAGAGGACCTGAGTTCAATTCCCAGCAACCACATGGTGGCTCCCAACTACCTGTAATGAGATCTGGTGCCTTCTTCTGGCCTGCAAGGACACATGCAGACAGAATACTGTATACCTAATAAATAAATAAACCTTTAAAAAAAAAATAAGAAAGACAGTCTGTACTTTCCATGACTCTGGGCCTTAGGCACAAACTCATGTTTCACAGGCCTTGATGAAAGAGCCAGAAAAGGCAGTTTGTTGACTTGGAGCTTAGGTTAACAGTGACCTAGGAACCTCAGAGCCATTGCAAATAAAGAGGATGCCAAATGGTCCTTTGTCTCTTGCATATATGTAAAGAAATTAAACAGATACTGGATGAAATGTGTAGTTGACCAGAAGGTGTCTTTATAGGTTTAGGAAAAGCCAACATTACATACAGCACTGTTGGTAACATGGCTCAAATGAGTTGTGATAATGGCTGGCTGTATGTTAAACAGTGCACAGAAGGCCCCTGAGTCCTGTAAAACATTTCCCAGAGGAAGGCTTCCTGCTCAGCACTTGAGCTGTAGTCCCCTTGGACTTATATATAGGTATCTCTGTACTGTGTTTCTTCATGAACCAGAACAATGCTCTTGGGAGTATGGTCACCATGGTAACCAGAGCCAGGTATCCAAGTATGTTTATTTCCTTGAATAAGGTAGTGAACTGTTCAAAGTTTTAAAGGAACTTTATTTAGAAAATTAAAAATGTGATTCTGAGTATTTAAATACAAGTACAATTCACAGTTGTTGCTTCAGTACCTGTTACTCTAGACTATATTAAGATTTCTGATGCTTGTGATTTCTCTTACTGGTTTTTAGGTCAGTATTTATTTACCAGCCTTGAAGACTATGAAGAGTGTTGTGGAAAAAATGAGAAACATCAGCAATCAACTTGTAAGTGATTACTCCTGAAAAAAAACTGTGAGTGAGCTCTAGCCATATGGGTGGGACAAGTGGCAGCTTCACTGTAGACCCAGGTGTAGGTGCTCCCTCACCACCACAAGGTGTCTCGGTTGGTAGGTTTCTCTCACTGAGGCCCCGCTGGAGAGGACAGAGCTTGGTGTTGAGATCTGGCCTTTAGGGACCTGTTCTAATGCCTTTCATCTCTCACTCACTGGGGACAGCTTGCCCTCGATCCCTCGTGTTTATAGTATACCAGGAGCTTGTTCCGACAGTTCGGGTATTTTGTTTCTTGTAATTTGGATGAACATTGCAGTTTGTTGGTCCCTTATTTGATGCTGAGGATTAAGCAGAAGGCTTCATGCAAACTAAGCCCATATTCTACCACCGAGCTGCGTGAGTAGTCGAAGCCCGAGTATCTTCACATGTTAATATGCATGGGCACGTTATACACTAACATAGATGGATCCCTTATTTTTCTATATATTTTTGAAGGCCCCAAAATACCACAACAGTGATGGAAAATCATGTGGACTATCATCATATTCACACATGAGCATATCCTGAATTCCACCTTTATTCAGTCCTTAAAACCACATTCCATCATGTTCCTGAATCTTTTCGAAGCCCCTGCCCACCTGATCCACAAACATTGACTTTCCCAACCTCCAAGGCCACATCTCTGGCAGCCGGGCCCTCCTGGCTGATCCACACTGGGCTGGCCCCGTCACCTGCCCTCCTAGTGCCCTTCACAGGTTTTGTTTCGTGCTGTTTTACACTCAGTTGCTGTGCCTCATCTCCTTGGAAGCGCTCAGCCATCGGCAGTGCTCAGCCCAAGCTCCATGTTGCCCGCAGGAAACTCCCTGCCCTGAGCTTCTCTCTAGCATGCCTGTAAATCCTCCATTATCTTGGAATCTCCAGAAGTGCCAGCTTCAAGGAAGGGAAATCCTTCCTTAACCTTCTGTGTCTCAGAGTCCAGGCTCGGGCTGTCGCTCAGTAGTCCAGAACTGCTGTGTTATTGCATGGATGGGAGCAACAGGTAGCTCCTGGGAATCGTTACATCACAGAAGGATTTTGAAACCTAGAAAGTCGACTTTTTTAGATGGTGTTGTTTCCTCTTGAGTCCTCACTTCAGAGCAGTAGTCTTTGGAGCTGCCATCTGAATGGAAAATAATTTCGCTTGAAGTAGCTCGCTCCGTGCTGGCAGCGGTGTTCACTGCCACTGCCACGGTGTTGATCCAGTTGTCAGGCCGGCTTCCTCTAAGGTACCCCGGGACTTCTAGGAGGTTCAAGAGGTCCAGAGGGAAAAGTCAGGCACTTAATTGAGGGATCCATTTGCTTGTTCTTTCTGTTCCATGGAAATGAGTCAGCAAAGTGGAGTGTGAGGAGTGAGGAGGGAGAGCATTGGCAGTTGTTTCTCTTCTGGAACGCTCGACAAATGCTGACTGAGAAGCTATCGAGTTAGAATAGCCACATGCATATGAGATCTTTCTGGGTACCTGGGAAGCCAGAATTCTAAAGAACACAAGTAGGTGCCTCCTGGAGAAGCTGCATGTCTTAATAGTTTGTAGAATAAAAACCTCACAAAGTTAGGAAATTATCTTGGTCCATTTCCACATTTATGGTGAAACCTCCCAGCCTCACTGCCAAACCATCAGTAAAGGATCATTGTTGTTTGAATCTTCAATGGTCTCTTAATAAAAAACCCAGAGCCACATGTCAGGGTGAAAGCTCAAACATCAGAGAAGCAGAGCAGCCAGCCACTAGTTCTTACCTCTATGAAATCCTCAGCCTAAAGAGAGTGAGTTCCTATTTCCTCACGCCTTATATACCTTTCTTTGCCCTGCCAATTACTTCCTAGGATTAAAGGCATGTGTGCTTCCTAATTAAAGGCATGCAATCTCAAGTGCTGGGATTAAAGGTATGTACCAACACTGCCTGACTTCTATGTCTAATCTAGTGGCTGGCTTTGTCCTCTGATCCTCAGGCAAGTTTATTAGTGTATACAATCTATCACCACAGATCATGACTGAGTCCCATACAAAGACACTGCATAGAAGATGGATGAGGTCCAGATTCAGAAGGGGCTGGGGCTGCTGTTGCCTTAACACTGCGTTTCTGGTTTGGTTGTTGGTGTCTGCCTAACTGGTCTACAGAAAGGCCATATGCAGTCTACGGTCAGCATTCTGCCAACCAGTAACACAAACATGCTACCTAATCTGGAAAGGAGGGGGGCATCCGTGTCAGTAGGATGATCCTCTGGGCATGGTGGGCAGGGGATCCTAGGTCAGTGAGAGGAAAGGAAGTCACCTGCTGGCACAGCTCTGTAGTCATGCTGTAGGTTAAGACATGCAGCATCAGCATGCCTGGAAACTGGTCAGCACATGGTGTCTCCCATGCTTATTCCAGACAATTTCTGAACTCCAAATCTTCCTCATTCTAGAAACAAAACATGGTAGGTTCTTTGAACTTAGATGAGTTCTTATGTTTGAGCTTCTGACATTATACACAGAGTTTCCCAAGCTCACAGTCTTCTCCTCTAGTCACTTCCTTGGAATCAGAAGCTTTCATGATAAGACTTCTTTCAGTAACCCAGAGCTCTTCTCGTCATTTCTTAACCCACTGTTCTATAATCTGGAATGATAGTCACCAAAACAAAATGTAGACAGCGATGCTTGTGAATGTTCTGGGGCTCTCCCTGGAGCTCTGCAAAGCTCATGTGTGGCCTGTGCCCATTTGTTTCCAACAACTGTAAATTGGATGACTTCTGAAAAACAGTGGTGTTAGAAATAAATACCTATTAAGAAAGCAGCTTGCTTTGGCTCTAGATTCACTGTGGGCATGCGTTCTTTTATGCTTTCTTCAATTTCTTCTTCTTTTTTAAAGATTTACATATCTATCTATTATGTATACAGTGTTCTGCCTGTACATATGCCTGCAGGCCAGAAGAGGGCAGCAGATCTCATTATAGATAACTGTGAGGCACCATGTGGGTGCTGGGAATGGAACTCAAGACCTCTGGAAGAGCAGCCAGGGCTCTTAACCTCTGAGCCATCCCTCCAGCCCATCTTCAAATTCTTAAAGTCTGAGTAATAGAACATTAGATTTTGACTCCCACATGATCCAGAGTGCCGGATACATGATGCATTTAGTCAGCATATGAAAGAATTAATAGCAGCCAACACCCTGAACATGCCACTCAGAGCTGATTTCAGATGCAGTTTTCTGTACTATCATGCACATCGACATACTCAATTTCCTGAGCATCAGGATAAGATCTTACTTTTCCCTGTGGTTCCCTTAATTATCACTAAGTGCCGTTAGTTGACTGCTGACTAATTGTACTGGTACCGACTATAAACCACCTCTGACTTCACCAGTGCAATAAAAGGCTTGTGACAGCTGCACTGCTGTCCCCATCATAGGTCATAATGCCTCCAGCCCCAGGTTTCACTTAGCTGCCCCCTCTCACTGCATCACAGTGCTTCTCACCCTAAATCCTTCTCGGTTCTCCAGTGAGCTGCTCCTACAGAGTGTTCCCAACATCACATCTGAAGTCACATCCAGCAGAGCACACATCACTAAGCATTGCTACAGGACATGGTCAGAAAACAGGCAATGTTAGCATGCCCTGGAAACTGGTCAGAAGTATAGAGGCTGGGCCCAGACTCGAATCCAAAGTCCATCTTAACCAGATCTCAGGGATTCTCATGCACAGTGTAATGATGGTGCGGGGAGGTGGGTGCTCTTCTTGCACGAGCCATAGACACCACCTACCGTGCTTCTTGCATTAAATGAGAAAGGAGGAAATGGCATCTCTGAAGGGTACATAGTTTTGGTGGTTTGATCCTTTCTACCTATATAATGTTCTTTCTCTTACCTGCCAGAGCACTCGTCCTGTTCAGTTAGGATCCTTTCACTCCATGCCTGCTGTAAGGGAGCCTCCCCTCCCCTCCACCCTCATTACTTTGCTGGGGCCTCCAGAGCCCTGATCCTTGGCAGAGTGTCCCAGCAAGGCCCCTCCCACTTCCCCCAGCTGAGTTCTCCACTAGGGGGTACCTTGTTGGTTTTTAGGGGATTTCTGAGTTCTGGACTCTCAGAACTTCTCTCTGTGGTTGATGCCTTGGGGGCTTCAGTGCCCTGTGAGGTGTTAGGTTTGTGGCACTGCCTTGTTACCCAGCTTTTGTGGAAGCCGGTGCCCACATGTTGTTGTTTTTCCTCTTTCCAGTATTGAATTTCATTCACTTTGCAGGTTATTGAAGCGAACCTGAACGGAGAACTGAACCTAAAGATAGAAACTGAGTTAGTATGTGTGACAACTCATTTTAAGGATCTTGGAAACCCTGTATTACGTGAGTTTTCTTGTGGGTTATATTTTGCCTCTAATAAATAAATTGTTTAAATATATATTGATTCTCTTAATGAAAATGTTGAACTTTGGTTTTCTTTGTTTCACACTTGAGAAGGGGTGGAGATTAGATTTCCTGTCCCTGTGACAAAATGGGGCAGCTAACACTAGGCAAGGGGCCAGGCCACCAGGCATTGAGGGTGTGCAGAAGGGTGCTTCCCTTCTCTGGGGTTCAGGTCGCAAACATTGGCTTCCAAGAATTCAATAGCTCTTTGTAGTTGGCATTTTCTTTGGGTCACTAACCAGCTCCCAAATAAAGACACAGAGACTTATTATTAATTATGAATGCTCGGCCTTAGCTTAGGCTTATCCCACTAGCTCTTTTAACTTGATTTAACGTGTTTCTATTCATCTTCAGGACTTTTTACCTTTCATTCTGTATGTTCTACTTTCCTGCTTCCTCTGTGTCTGGCTGGCTGGCCGCTTCCTTGTGTCTCTTTTCTTTCTTCCCTGAGCCTAACTCCTCCTCCTAAACTCTGCCTGCCTGGAAGTCCCGCCTGTACCTCCTCCCTTGCTATTGGCCATTCACCTTTTTGTTAGACCAATCAGGTGCCTTAGGCAGGCAAAGTAAAACAGCAACACATCTTTGCATAGTTAAACAAATATTCCAAAACAGTTCTTCATATGTCACTGTGCTCTGAAAGGTTAAGATTCTCATCTACACTGGAGTCAAAAGTTGTGTTTCTTATTTTCTCCTCTACTCAGTTCAATCCTTGTAAAGTTACATTGGCAGAAAGAAATGTGATACAGATGAATTTGGTCACACTTTTCACCTCATAAAGGTTGGGAAGAAATGTGCAATCAGTTCAGTAAGCCTTGAAGGAAGGGGTGCAGCTTGGTGAGCAGTGAGCCCAAATTAGAGTCCTCTTCTCAAACAGAAGCAGCCAGAGGGCCAGAGGAAAGGTATCTGGAATGATGGGAGGGTCATTTTTTGATATACATGTGTTGGTAAACAGATACGATGATGCCATCACTTTTAGAATTATGACTGGTTATTGTAGGTGTGCTTTCACATAAGCACAGATACTACTTTAGCCTTGAAAGAAACATTTACGTTGTAGTGAGGGGCACATTGTTTCAGCACAGTGAAATTCATATCATGAAGGCTGTGACAGTGGTGTGTGGAATGACCTTGGCTTTCAAGCTGCTGTGTTTGCAGTACTTACTGAGTCTAGAGCCTCTGCATGCTAGGGAAGTGATCTACCACTGAGCTACATCCCCAGCCCTGACGTGAGTTATTTGGTGTCAGACATTTTGTTTCACAAAGCAGGTTATCAGCACTGGAAAGGCTGATTTCTGTTTTTCGTTCTACTATGTAGAGTTAGAAGTCTGGCACTAGCCATCTGCATTTCAACTTTTGAATTCATATTGAACTACAATGTTCTTTTGTGCAAAGAGGTGACTGAGTTATACTTCAAGACATTTTAAGTGAAGCTCCTCTGGAGGTTACAGTATTTTAAACAGTTCAAATACCTGCTGAATGAGTGACATTTACAAGTTGTAGTCTACTAGGTTGCTAAAAAGAGCTATGGGGTTGATCAGTTCATAAACACCCATTGCATATTTCTGAGTTCCTTGTTATGTCCAGAGATGTTGGATTTAAAAAAAAAATTCATGTCATTTCAGCCTCTGAGAGCGTCTCTCAAAACAGACACCCAGAAGACATGGCCCGGGTGCACATCGACATAAGGAAGCTCCTCCAGTTCCTTGCAGGACAGCAAGTGACTCCCACCAAGGCTGTGTGCAGTGAGTTTGCGTCTCCAGTACTCCCTCTAGTCTAATGTGCGTGCGGTCTTCGAAGTGCAGATATGCCCAGTTCCAGGAACTCGAGCGCCCTGGGCAGTCAGGTCGTAAAGTTTCCTTGAGCTAGAGGAAGTATCTGGAGACACTGAAGAGTGATGGTGAGCAGTGAGGTGCTGGCCTGGCAGTGGGCTCTGCCTGTGGTGCTGTCTGTACCGTGCAGACTATCTCACAGCCCTGACTTTATCACATTTGACATAATCAGAGCCCGGTGTATGCGTTTTTCTAGATCTGAGTTTCAGCTTGAACCATTTGCGTTCCTTTCACTGCCCACCTGACCTGTGCTCGCTACCAAAGTCTCCTCTGTTGTTGGTTATTAATGGTTTAGTCCTCGTCCTGACTCTGGTTGCACACTGCCCTGTTCCTCTTCACCTGCTCTCTCTTCTGAGCTAGGAAGTTCATCAAGAGCTTCCCAAAGCTCTTTGTCTCCTTGTTTTGTTTTGTTTTAAAAAAGGCATAGCAAGGTCACATAGATGTGACCTCCCTCCCTTTGTGGAAAGTGCCCAGGATGGCCTCTCATCCACAAAGTTGAGGAAGATGACCTGGGACTAAACCTTATAGTGATGGAACAGAAAGTTCTGGGTAGCTCTGTCAAGGACCAGCTGTTTTGAAAGAGAAAAGGGATGTATCCTAGTTAGGGTTACTATTGCTGTGATGAAACACTATGACCAAAAGCAGCTTAGCGAGGAAAGGGTCTATTTGGCTTACACTTCTACATCACTTTTCATTATCAAAGGAAGTCAGGACAGGAGCTCAAGCAGCTCGGGAACCTGGAAGCAGGAGCTGATGCACAAGCCACGGAGGGGTGCTGCTTACTGGTTTGCGCCTCATGGCTTGCTCAGCCTGTTTTCTTATAGAACCCAGGGCCACCAGTCCAGGGATCGCCCCACTCATAATGGACTGGGCCCTTCCCCAGCAATCACTAATGAATAAAATGCCCTCTGTAGACTTGCCTACAACCCAGTCTTACAGAGGCATTTTCCCAGTTGAAGCTCCCTTCTCTCTGATGGCCAGCTTGTGTCAAATTCACATAAAACCAGCCAACATAGGATGAGAAAGCACAGGAGAGACTGTGAGCATCTGTGGGGTGAGGACATGGGAGAATTTGGTGGTATGTTGTATAGCCTATCAGAGTGCACAGGACCACAAGCGCTCACACTGTGTCCGTATACTTTGGTCACCTCACTGTGGGTACTTGCTTTTACCAGGAAGGCTACTTTGGTTCAATCAACCTGATTCCTTCCCTACAGCCTGGGCAGCTTCATTTTTCATCACTCACACTGTCCCCAGTGGGTGGCAGTAGCCTGTGCTCTGACCCCTCGTGAGCCCCCAGAGGGAACAGGCACCAAGTGTAGGAGGTGTCCATGGCAGAGAAGTTGTCGTGACAGGTGAGGATGAAAAGCTGTCATTAACATCCGGGTCTTTTTCTCCTAGACATTGTGAGTAACAGAATTGTTCATTTTGACTTGCTTCTGGAAGACATCTCCCTTCAGTATTTCATCCCAGCCTTGTCCTAGCACAGTCTCACCAGACCTGGGAGCGCAGAGACGTTGGCCGTGATGAGAGAAGCACTGGATGATGTGGTCAGTCAGCTGCCTGTCCTCACAGCACCACAGACTTGTACTGGTGGGCTCGTTTCTCCCCCTATGTTGCTTAAAGGACAAGTGGAATGAATGAAGTACAACTGGATAATCATTCCTTCATAGTGCTCAAATCCACCACCTGTGCCTCATCCTGGGTTTAAGACATTAAGAAGAAAAGGTGGAATTGATTTTTTATAGGCTCTTTTGTTGTTTTTGTTTTCCTTGGGTGCTTGAGATGAGACCAGGGCCTTATGTGTGCTAAGCACATGCTCTGCCCCTGAGTTGCTCCCAGCCCTGTCTAAAATTTCCGTAGCAGTTTGTCACGGAAGTTACCGAAACCATCATCCCCAGAGAACTGGTGTTGCAGTCAGAATGCGCAGGAGTACTCCCCAGCTAGTTGCTCGGTCAGTCCCCGGTAAGGCGTAGCTGTCTGCTTTCCGATGTGAGTGTGCGCTTCCTTCCCACCCCACCCGTCTGGGAGCTCAGGGCAAACTGGACAGCCCCTCCGTCCCCAGCAGCATGCCTGGTTTCTCACCACACTGTGAGTGTACAGCTGCAGCATGTGGAGCCTTGCCCAACTTCCTGAAGAGTCAAGTTCATTCCTTTCTCGAGCCTGGGGAACCTGCAGAGTCTCAGAGCCTGGAGACACTGGGAACCCGAGAGCCCGAAAGGCCCAACCAACCCAGGTCCCATCTTGAACTGGTCCTTCTGTGTACTTTCTGCCTGAGCCCACTTTGGTTTTGGGTTATAACTTATTTTATGTTTTTGTAGTGCTCAGGATCAAACCTAGGACTGGGTACATGCTAGGCAAGCACTCCTCTATGCCAAACTATATCCCCAGTCATTTAAATTGTAATTTTGCATAATTCTTCCACAGTATCAGATCTACCATTCTATAAAGCACATTGTTTTGCATAAAGCACTTGAAGCTTGGCCATGATGGGCAAAGCTGTGTTCTGTTCCTTATTGGAGCTGGCTCACCTGAGGGTGTGCTTTCTCCAAAAACACCCTAGCAGGCTTCCTGTTTTGACTAGGTGTCGGGTGTCCCATGAGGTGGCATCAGAAACTGTTTTTTCACGTCAGAGTCAAAGCTTAAGTTGCTTAGGATGAGATGTTTTAAAAGGGGAGGGGGGGATAAAACAAATTAGAGCATTTCTTTTTGGGCTTTTCCATATTATTTAGGGAAAGTACTGTCCCTCAAGCGCTGCTGGGATTCTTTTTTGCCATTTCAGTTTTGATTAGACAGGTTCTCATGCAGTAAAGCTGGCCTTGAATGAGTTGTAGCTAATATTGGCCTTGAACTCCTGAGCCTCCCCCACGGAAGTGTTGAGATGACAGATGTGAGCCGCCATGCCTCTGGCTCTTCTGATATTTAATAAGATATATTCGGTTAAACTAACATTTTAGAATTAGGGATTCTTTAATTGTTAAAGCGTTTCTCTCTCCTTTGGCTTGTAATGAAAGGCAGTCCAGATGCCGTGATAAAGCCTCAAAATCATGATGCAAATGAAATTTCAGGACGTTCCCTATGAAACTTGTTTCTCTGTCTGTGCCTCACTAGTCACTGACGTCACCGCCGTGCCACGTTCTGATGGCGATGACGTTACAGTAACGTAACACGAGGGAGAAGAAGCCTTCCTCGGCAATCGAGAGGCTGTGGTCTTTCTGGTTCTTGTCACAACTTTCTGCGTAGTGTTCATAGGTTGTATCTCACAGCTGTAGTTAAGGGAGGGAGCTCGGAGTGGGGTTATGGGAGCTCGGAGCTGCTTTGTGGAACCCCATCCTGAGGTGAGACTGTCGAGAGCAGAGAAATTTTGCCGTAGGAGCATGGGGTCTGAGGCTTGGAGGTGCATTTTTACTTACTTACTCTGGTGGCCTAAGACTTGGAGGCTTGAAGAGTACTTCCCTGAATGTTGGAACCAGTAAGCTACCCCCTGACGTTGCCTGCCAGGCCTCAGAACCCACATCCCTGGTCGCCATGTCTTGAACTGAGATTCAAGACTGTCCTGAGACAGGTCAGGGGTGAAGAATTCTCAGTGCGGCCACTTGTGCCAGTGTCCGAGCAGCCGTGTTTCCCTGTGGCACTCCCGTGGTCCAGCAGGGACCTTCCTGCCCATCAGGTCTCCAGACTGTGTTCTGCCCTGCATCCTGCCCCAAAGAAACCTGCTCTTGGAAGCCTGAAAAGCCTTCAGCATTAGTCTTGGGGCAAGAATACTGGTTCTTTCACCAGATGCAGTGGCCAATGACTTTTTGGTAAATGTCAGCCAATGTCATCCATTGTTTTTAAGAAATATTTCTGTATTTTTTTATTTTAAAGATTTCATTGAGACATCAAAGTGCACAATCTAGAGGGTTTTTTTTTCAGACATTTCAGTCATGCAGTCATTCCCCACCTTTCACTCTGCCTTCCCTCCTGAGCAACTGATTAGTTGCTCTCTGTTGCTATGCTTGCTTGTCTGGACAGCTCTGGAAACTCCTCCCCAGACACCCAGGCCTCTGGTAACCACCATCCTTTACTACTGATGTGAGGGCCTGATAGGAGGTTCTTGACCCTTGTAGTTCTGTATCAGTGTCTGCATTCTTACCTCAGCCTTCACAGCATGGCTTTCGCTCATGGCCATCCTTGTATAGTGAGTCTGTCTGGAAATTCTGTATGCCTGCATGCATTGCAACCATTGCAAAGCTTGATGGCATTACCATTTCTCCAAGGGTGGGCTCCCAACATTCACACTTTGATTGCAGTGAGGCTCATCCCGTTTTTTCATTCCAATGGCCCTGCTAGGCTAGCTCTGCTCTGCTCACACTGTCCCATGAGAAGAGACCAGACCCAAGTAGGTCTGCTACAAAGTCTCAGAATGTGAGGGAGCCAAATGCCCAGCTCCCAACTGTTTGTTCCACTGTAGAATCAAAGAGGATTTCTCCATGTGTGGTCCTGTGTGCTTGGTAGAGCAGCCTCATAGTTACCCTGTCTGTCTCTCGTGCTTTTGCATTTCTCTGGGGCCCAATGGGTACCACAGCCTCACTCTGGAGTTAGGGGAATTCAGGGTGGTCATCTTGCTATTGGAGAGTTACTAGTTGGAATTATGTGGGGACTTGGAGAAGTCATAGATTTCTACTCTGCCATTTTGCTAATGCCACACTCCAGTTCTGTGCTTTTGTGTGGATTCTGATGGAGAATCTAAAAGGGAGATTGAGCTTGTGGATTTTTCTCTAAGATCAGTCTTCAGCTAGGAGATGATAAATTAGGATCACTTGGACATTGGTGGTAGCAGTTGGGGGGCGGAGTATTAGTACCACTTCCTGGTATTCAATTTGCTATTTACTGTCTGTGGGAAATTTGGAAACTGCTCCCTTTGATGTACTACTTATGCTTGTAAGACTTCTTCTACAGGTTATAGTCAAAGCTTAGTACTGTTTTTTTTTTTTTTTTTTCCGAGACAGGGTTTCTCTGTGTAGCTTTGCGTCTTTCCTGGATCTCGCTCTGTAGACTAGGCTGGCCTCGAACTCACAAAAATCCGCCTGCCTCTGCCTCAAGGATTTCTTAATGTGAATGAATAGGGAATTGGTAGATGATCAGTGCTGTGATACAGCATCATTTCCTAATGCTACAGGACAAGTACTGTGTGGACCGTAACAAAACCAGTGGTATGTTGGTGTTCAATGTGACAAAGACGACCAGGAAGCATGTGTCTAAACCCAGCTAGCTCTGGGTGGTTTTTATTTCAATCTTTGTACATTTGTGTATTTTCTAACAATTTCATAACCAACTTTGTAATGAAAATATTTTGTAGAATTAAATAAATATGTATTATTTGATGATTACTTGAAATTTATTAATACACATATTCATCTGGCAACTTTAATTTCCTGAACATTATAGTTTAGGATAAATTTTGACAGTACATCCTTATTTTCTGCAGTGGAAAGCTAGACTTTTTGCCATGTTAAAGTTATACTGGGTTAAGAGTACAGAGCCTGGATTAATAAGGCCATTTTATATGGGAAAATTCCTTCTTATCATGGGCCCAACATGAAAAAGTTAGTTAGCTTTCCTTCTCTGTGACCAAATATCTGAGATAATCAGCTTTTAAAGAAGAAAGGTTGGGACTGAGTTTGAACCGGTGGCCCACACTGTGGAAGGGGAGAACCAACTTCTCAGGAAGTTGTCCTCTGGCCTCCATATACATGTATATAATGGCATATATGCGTGTGCACAAAGACACATACACACAAATGAATGAAATTTACCTGCTGCTAGGAAAAAAGCAGAAAGAAGGTTGAGATATCAGTATCCCTTTCAAGGGCACACTCCCAGTAACCAGCCTCCTTCCGCCAGGCCTACATCTTACAGGTCCCTCCAGTCCAAGCAGCTGAAGATCAAGTCTACATGTGGACTCCTGGGGGCATCTAAGATCTAACCTGTATCATAACTGAGTTCGATGTCTAACAGTCTGCAGAGGAAAAGCGCTTTATTAAGGTTTCTTAGTCTAAGCATTTTGAGAGAGAGCTAAACCAGAGTTCCTCATAATCACTGGGCAATCAATAAGAAGTCCAGGGACAGTGGGACAGGGAAACCACCTGCCTGCAGTCCAAGTCCCTGTTGCCAGCAGCACTCTGAACAATACTGGATACTATACTCTAGCACCCTGGGACTAAGACCTGCCTCTTCCCAGCACCCAATCCTGGACAATCAGTGACCTCCTAAGGGGCCATCAGTAGGTGATTGGAGTTGGAGAAAATGCAACACTTCAGCCCATTTCTAAATTAGAAGGCATGTGTCAGCACTTGTAGGCTTTACATACATTTGAAACCCAGAAATTCACCTTGTGTCCAAGGGACATTGATGGCCACAACTGAGTTCCCAACACCACAGGGTGCACTGGTGCTTTGCCTATGGGTATAGTATAGGCAAAGGACTCCAGTGGCATCTCCTATTGACTGTCAGTGTGTCCAGTACACCATGACACCACTCAGTTACCAACGAGCTCTCTACCCAGATAGCCTTCCGTTCCTCACTCAGGGGTGTTTATAAGCATAAGCTTCAGAGGCTCCATGTGGAAACACCCTAAGCACGTTTACCATACACGTGTTCATTTAACTATCATCATCTTCCTGACAGAGACGACATCCTATAGAGCTTGTCCTGTGAGCTACCCTGTCTGATGGGGAAAATACAGGTAACCAGACAAAAGCAAGAGCCAGAATGAGTTGAGTGTCTTCCTTGGGTTTCTGTGCTTTAGTCTGTCCATTTCCTTTGTGGTTTGCAGATGTCTCTGCCAAAGAGTCAGAGGGTATAAGGAACCCTTGTAGGTGGACAGCTCAGGACCAGTGCCTCCTTCCTAAGGTCCCACTCCATGTTCATGCTGGGGCTTCAGCAGCTCCTGGAGCATGCAGCAGTTTCAAATCAAGAATGCGATGCTCAATGCAACTAGAATACCTAAGTACCCAGTAGATCTCCTTGCTGACTGAACATGTTGCAAGTACCTAGGAGAAAGAACAACTGCTTTACCCCAGATCCAGGGAAGAGAGAGGCTGTACATTGGGCACCAGGTGTCTGAATCTGCCTTTGTGCTGTACATCCATAATGTATGTATATGATCTAGATTTTAAAAAGTAGCATAGTGTCTCAAATGATGCGGTTCATACTTCAATATGACTTGTGCATGTGTGTCCATTGTCTACATCACAGAGCATTTATATTAGTATAGGCAAAGCACTCCAGATAAAAACAAGGAGTTCAAGCAAGGTTAGGGCTAGGCACAGGAAGCCAATACAGATAAATACACTAATCAATTAAAATATACTTACTCTATTATAACCCTAAGGGTGCAGTGGCATGCATACCTTGTCAGTAGCCAACAGGTCTCTAATAGAACTTAAGACCACTCAACAAGAGTGAGATCACGCTGGGTACTGGAAACCTAGCCAAGCACCCAGGGATAGTGAAATCCCGGATCTTGGAGGAGAACCTACAACCTCCACTCGTTAAACCCACACAATTCTGAACTACACTCTAAACATTTATCCTTGCACACGCAGATAAATGTTGTCCTCACCCCTCAACAAGGAAACTTCTTTTCGCAGTAGACAGAGACCATTACAGAAAACCACAAGTTATCAAAATGCAGAGTTCTAGAGTCTAGATGAAAACTCCTGCACCTAAGGTTTAGGGAACATTGCAGAAGAGATTGTGTCTCCTAGAAATGTCGGAGAAGCTACACCCATGAAGACTTACCTTCATGCATAGCATGGTTGCTATCCATGACCTGAACAAGAACAACACCAAGAGACACACTGACGTGGATGGGGTAAGTTCAGGAGGCCTCAACCCTAGACAAAGAACTACAGGCAACTAAGAAACAAGTATCAGAGTTGGAGAAACAGCCTTCCCCAGGGAAGAGCACACCAATTGGTTACCCAACACCAAATGATCAGCCCTGAAATATATACATACAATAACATTATAAGGACTGAGCAGGTTGCATTTATATTTGAAGAATGTGTGTGTGTGTGTGTGTGTGTGTGTGTGTGTGTGTGTGTGTGTGTGTGTGACAGCAACTAAAGAAAAAGTGTCAGCCAGGCAGTAGTGATCCACGCCTTTAATCCCAGCTCTCAGGAGGCAGAGGCAGACAGATATCTGAATTTGAGGCCAGCCTGATCTACAGAGAGAAACCCTGTCCTGGAACATCCCCTCATGCCCCTGTTAAAAAGAGAGAGAGAGAGAGAGAGAGAGAGAGAGAGAGAGAGAGAGAGAGAGAGAGAGACAGAGACAGAGAGACAGAGAGAGACAGAGAGAGACATTAATTTGAATGAGCAAGGTGGGGGGGTGGGAGAAATGAAGGGAAGGGAAGAAATGATGTAATTATATTATAACTTAAAAATTTTCAGGGGCAAGAGAGATGGCTCAGAGGTTAAGAGCACAGGCAGCTCTTCCAGAGGTCATGAGTTCAATTCCCCGCAATCACATGGTGAGTGACAACCATGAGATCTGGTGCCCTCTTCTGGCCTGCAGGTATACATGCAGGCAGAACACAGTGTACATAATAAACAAACAAACAAACAAATCTTTAAAAAATTCAGACCAATAAATTTCCCCAGAGAACATATGTGTGTTGTGCTTTTCTTTAAAAAAGTGCTGAAACAATTTAGATAAAAGGTGGTCATGTGGATTCCCTGTGCTCACAAAGTATTAAGAGAGAAAAATCACAGAGGTCGCCAAACCCTACAACATTGTCGCCGTCTCTACTATGATCGCTGATGCTGTCCAGACAGAGAACAGTTAGGGAATGGTATCTGCCCACATGTCAAAGGGTCAAAGGAACAAAGGCATTTGGAGGCAACATACTGAGACATTCAACCATTGTTCTAGATAGTTTTATTTTGAGGTATATGAGAACCATGGAAGATTATAGAATTGTCATTCAATTATGTGTGCCAAAGTACCTCCTCTCTCCTCTCCCCTCCCCTCCCTTCTCTTCCCTTCTCTCTTCTTCCCCCTTCTTCTTCCCCAACTCCCCTCTCTCTGGTGGGGAACTGAACCCAAGACCTAGACACATGCTCTATCACCTAACTACACCTCCCTCCCTCCATTTCCCACAGTTGGTACCAGATGTAGCAAAACTGTCTTCTGTCACTTAAAGATGACCTTAAAAGTGTGCACTGACCTGGCATTACACATGACAGGCCACCCTGCTATTTGTCACAAAGCCATGGATTTAAAGTACTTTAATACTCTGTGTCCTCCAGTGAGACACTGTTGATCTCTGTCCTTTTAGGGCATGCTCACCTTTGAGGGAACAGCCTTCTAGCCAACTAGGGCTCCTCTTTGCAGGATGTTTCTCAGGGGTGCCTTATCATTGGCTCATTGCCCTTAATATGCTAATGAGAGCAGGGAAGGCTCAGACCGGGCTGCATCAGGACCCTTCTGTGGACATCCTCCCACCAGCACTCACTCAGCAGAGCCAATTGTGGTCTTTATGCTGAGCAGAAGACCCCATGGGAGCAGGCTGCCTGAGAATGGGCTGGAGGGTGCTCATCACAGCCTGGGCCCTGTGCTCCTTGGAGCACTCCACTCCAGGAATTGGCTCAACCAATGGTAAGTTTCAGCTCTTTCACAGTCTTAGCCATCTACCCTCACCCCGTGCTGCGCCACCACAATTTACCAAAATCTGCCCAGACACTGTGTGTGTTTGATGCTCGATGTGTGTTGGGACCCTGAGGGTGGTGGAGGCTGGGTAATGGTGCCATAAAAGATGCGGAGTATCCAAAGATAGGCAATAGGAGACATCTATAGGCTGACTCCAGAAACAGAGCAGAAATGAGTATTGGCAAGTTTGCTGCCCAAGAAAGGACACACTAGCCTGTGTATTGCTCATGAGTGAAAGGTGGAGTGATGCTGGCCTGCCCTTTGATGCCTTTTCAGCAAGCTCAGCTTGAAAGTGTATGTTAGCTGTGAACTAATACTAATTAGAATCTGGGCTGGAGACCTGGGGTGCAAAGCTGACTGTTTCTCCAAACATCCTTCTGGATTATCTTCCCTGTATCTTTTGTGATGCACCTATTACAACAGCAAATGTGTTAGTGCCCACGTCTGAACCGGATGTTAGATGCCATCCACAGCATCATAACATACAAGGACTTGTGTCGGGAAGCACCCATGCCTTTGATACAACAGATGATCTACTTTCTTTATATTGTGAATTGTATATGCAAATGTTTGCCATTTTGTTTAGACTATTTGAATTCTTCAGGATATGCTACCTGCATGCAAGTATCCATCTGTCCTTTTCATTGCATACAGCTTAAATACCTTAACTTTTTTGTGCAGTAAGAAGGACTCCTTAAACAATCATTTAAGTCAAAAGTTGTGTATTAAATCTGAGCGGAGAATTGGGGCTTTCAAAGAATGCTTTCAAAAGACACTGCTTTTGCTCAAAGCTTAGAAAAGACCAGTGGAGTTGGGTAGCTGCTTTCATTCTTTGCCATCCAGAAGATTCTCTTGAAGGTCATTCCAGAAGGGTTTCTATCTTACATATTAATTTCATGCAAAGGAATGAAGCCATCCCTTCTTTTCCCCCTTTCCTCTTTTAAGAAGAAGGGCACCGGGGACCCTGCCAGATCTTTGATGGCTCCTAAGTGAAGCCCAGAGGTAGTGGTTATGAAACTGATCATTTTTGTAAACCACTGCATTAATCACATCCAGGATGTTTGTACCTGGGGTAGTCTGTAGGGTGTCACATGGCCTTCTTCAGTTGGCTTAATCATGTCTAGTTCTCAGCATAAGTGGGGCGTGCCTCTGGCCTCCACTGTAGGCTTCCCTCTGTGCTATGCTCCCTGTCATACTAGTGAAGTGCTCAGCAGATCCCAGGCCTTGCAGAATCAGGCTGAGAGTGTGGAGAGCCAGGAATGCCATTCCTTAGCTGGGTATGGGCTGTTTAAGAACACAGCACCCGCATGATTAAAAAAGAGAAGAGCCAAGCACGGGCCACCAGGTTGTTCTGAGGCAATGGCCACTTCCCGCTCACTGTAGTTAATCATGGCTTCCATGTCATCATCTAGTGCTGGGGAAGCTAATTCTTAATCTTACTTCACTTACATTCCAGTCGCTCCGACGGGCTGGAAGAAATTTCCCTTTCTTCACTCCTGTCCCTCCCTGGCGCCTGTGCTTAGGGGTGTGACTGCCACAAACTTTGAATTTCTCATCTTCATTACATCCAGTCTTCCCAAAGGGTCCTGATGCTGGATGTGGCAGGTGTCTTTACTCTTGGCTCACTTTAAACATGAGGTGTTAGATCTGTCACAAGGCATCCAGGATGGGGTGTTGGAGAGAGAGAAAACTCTGTTTGCACACAAACAAATTGCAAATTGAAACTGATTCATTCCTTGAGAACAAATCCACTTTGAGTTACTAATAAAGCCACAAAGCACACATTTCCCCAAATCCCCAACAAGAACAGGCGAAGGAAAATCAAAGGAATTAACAGAGAGAGAGAAAGAAGATTGAGACCACCATCAACCCTTCTTGGAAAGACAGGGCACTGGTGTCAACATGGCCCTTTAGCCTCCATGGGGCCCAGAGGTTCTGCTTACTCAGCCTGCCTACTTGAAAGGACTTTCAGCAAACACAGGATGTAGGTAGATTAGCCAGCCCAGCAGGCTCTTCCCTGTGCCCCCCGTGGTTCCTTCGCTTTCCCCACTGGGAAGAAACTTTGTACAGGAAAAGAATCCCCACCCTGCCAATTAATACTTTCCTCTTGAGTTCAGTGCAGACCCACAGACAATTCTAGAAGGAAGGACTTTCTAATTTCCCGAGTAAGACAAAGCCAAGACTAAGTTTTGTAGACTCTCTATGGAGGTTGAAAAGTTTCTGTAACTTAGAACTAGAAGAACTACCAAACACTTTAAAAAGTAATAAGGGGTTGCTTTGCAGCCACAGAGAACTTGGTCCTTGCCTCTGAATAGCAAAGTGGGAAACGAGATGACAGATACCCAGAACAGTTGGTTCTTTGGGTCCGAAAGAGAAGGGATGCCATGAGAGATAATGCAGAGGAGCTTAGGATGCTCCCCTTGAGTCTGTGTAATGGAGATGATTCTGGATGTCCTGGCTCTCTGGGTGCCTGGGTTTATCAGCTTCTAAAGCTGTTTTTATTACCAGATTTCTCTCACTTCTTTTGCACTTTCTTGAGTGGTTGATCTACTCCAGGCAGTCACACAAAGATCACCTAAACAAACATGTCTCCTAAGGAGAGGGTAGAGAAGTAAGTTTTCTGACTGGGAAACTGTTGTTGCAGTATATCTTTTTCTCCATGCATGCTGGTTACTCTGACATGAGTTCTCAGTGCTGAGACTAGAAGCCTCAAGTGCCTCTGTCACCCTGTGTCTTGCAGTGAGTGTGGGAGGAAGCTGGTGTACTGAGTGTGGTATCCAGGATCAGCTAACACAGTGCATGGCTGAGGCAAAGGCTGAGGACGTTTTTGAGGACCTGAAAAGGTGAGCGGGCACTATTCTAGGCTTGGGTAGGGGAGATGAGCTGGACTGCAAACTCTGCACTCGGAAATGTTTCTTGCAAAAGAAATTGGGTTTGGTTTAGATTTATTTATTTTATTTGTATGAATTTTTCCCCTCGTGTATATATATGCATTCCTGGTGTCTGCAGAGGTCCAAAGAAGGCATCAGGTCCCCTGGAACTGGAGTCACAGATGAATGTGAGCCACCCACGTGGGTGCTGAGAATTGAATGCTGTCTTCCCCAAGAGCAACAAGTGCTCCTAACCTCTGAGCCATCTCTCCAGCCTCTCACAATGAATGGT